AAACTTTCCCACTAAATCTTTGACCCCCATTTGCACCAAGGAGGAATACATTTTTGAAAAAGTATGAAACACGCCTCAAATGAATTTGAACACAGAATTTTGAAATTGAGCTTAAGGCCGATCGGATGGTAAACAAAAAAGTTTCATACAAACGTTTTTTCGCGAGTTTTCCATACTTTCGGGTCGAATTTCCCGAAACCCCGTCTTTACGTGCAGCTTCATCACATAAGGTAACTACGGTGAAAAGTTCAACTTCCTAGCTCTGACGGTATGGGTTGGGCGTTGATCACCAATTAATCAGCCAAAAAGTCAGTCAGTCAGGACCAACAGTTTTATATATAGCTATTTATTTAATTAAGTATAAACATTTCGTTTGGTTAAATAAATACAAAGTAGATCGCAATCATAAAAAAAATTAATAACATGCAGCGCACTTGAAACGCCGCTGGGGAGCGATTTATCTATAGATTTATCTGCCTTTTTTGCAATGTAATTTCAACTAGATTTAGTTTATTTCACACACGATTATTATGATTGAGTTGCGTAGATTAGTGAGTTTTCATTGTTTGCCGCAACTTGTGCGAATAGCTCCCTCGAGTCCAATAAGCCATAACAACAATATGCAGCTTTAATTAGTGTTTAAGGCTAATTATATAATATGAGAAGTTTTTTGGGGCCAAACGCTCGCAGTTGGCCATTTGGCTTTGCCATAAAATGACGTCGACGATGTCAAAGGAAAATTTAGCACCGCACAGAAATAGGAAAAAAAAAAAGACTTTAAAACTGTGCTCGGCTACGTTCCGGCAGCAGCTGGCTTCTAGTACCCTTTAACCATTTACCCCGTTGCCCAGGCCCCACCCCTTACACCACTTCTTACACCTTGTTCCGGGCAAAAATACCAAAAATAAGTAAACGCAGCTTAGCAAATTGTGCGCTGCCAACGACTTGAGTTTTATTTTTATGTTGATGCAAAAACTTTACGTGCTCAAGTTTATTGAGTGGCTGCTGTGTATGAAATTTAGTTTGTGTGCGTATGTCTGTATGTGTGTGTGTCTGTGTGTGTATGGTGTATGTGCCAGTTAAATGGATAAAGCGAGGGCTAAGCTAGGGTCGCCCAACAAAAGCTACTTGTCTTGGTTTAATCAGCAACTGTCTGCCTGGAGACATCGAGTTTTAATGTTCAACAATTCTATTTGAATACGCGATTTACCTATATGTATGTATACTGAAGCTAGAGTTGAGCAAACCAACTAAATTCTTCCTTTCCAGTTAAACATATATCAAGATAGTTTTAAAAGCAATAAGGATCTAAAAATTAAGAATATCTTCGGCACGCGGAAGACAATTCCCTTGGAGACATTTCCCTTTTGCAGATATGTGAGAATAGTGAAGCTCGCTAATGCTGAGTATGATGAAAATATCCTTGATAACAGAATATTTTGGCAACTATTCGACCGATCTTTCCTATAACACCTAGATAATATAGGGGTCCAATGTTGAAAAGAGTTTGTATACATATAAGAGGCATAGTATAACTTACAAATACCGAATTTGGGTAAGATATTCCTATGGCAGCTATACTAAACAGTTGTGCGATCCGGCAGTTCCGACATATGTACTGCCTGCAACAGATAGACGGGCCTATGCAAAGTTTCAAGATGATAGCTTTAACACTGAGACACTAGTTTGCAAAGAAACAGACAGACCGACACGCCTACATCAACTCGAATGTTGAAGCTGGTATAGGAATAATATACTGTATGGGCATGCAGATTTATCCTTCTATGCGTTGTATAATAAATGTACAAATTATAATATGACATGACTGATTTGTAAAATAATTTTATAATATATTACCTATTTGTAAAATGTTATACTGTTGCCCCACATTCCAAATGTTAGATATAAGCAAATAAATTAAGTTGATAATCATTAAAATCAATATATGAAATCCTTTAAGTTCTTTCGTCTGCGCTATTTTAAGAGCTGAGCCCGTGTCAATATATATTCATATTTAATTAGATACATTTGAATATTGATAAACTGGCAAATGCGAAAAATGCAATGTTCATAATCAGATCGGTTACATTGAGTCGGTCCGCTAGACCTGACGCTACCAGCAATATAACTTTGCATATTCATAATGGTGGAGAGTCGTAACAGCGCAATATCAGATGCCAGGCAAAGTAAAAGTCTTGACTGCGGGCGCCTCAATTTTTAATGAAGCCAACGCAGCGCAGCAGCAGCCACGCCCTTATGGCCATAAAATGAAATGGGGAAATTGGCGCCCAGGGGCCACGGCCAGGAGCTGCTAAAAGAAAGACCAAAATGTTGCATCACTTTTTAACGGACATTGCAAAAAGCCATTAAGCAAACTAACACCAAGAGGGCCAAAGCCGCCCTCATTCCCCTCGTTGCAGCAGCAATTCGCAACAACAGCCAACGGCTTCAAGACCTGCTCTCGAGAAACTATCTACGAATATATTCAGAAGCCACGCGTTCCCATTTCCCACGCACTATCAAAGGCTTTTGAGGCCAGCTACCAAATGACTTCTTGTTGTTCAAGTTTGCGATACCAAACTATTTCACACATTTAGGCATTCAGATAATATTTTGGGATATGCGACAAACTCGTGTCGTTTGTGTCTGAGCTTGACATTTAGACACTAAACTAAATTCGTTTTACGAAAATATTCCAAGCCTATATATGTATTAGTGTTTATTATTAAAATGCTTATGGGTTTTCCATATTGCAAAATAAATCAATTAATTCAATTGTTGTCTTGGTCCTAAGTATGACAACCTGGGTACAGTGCGAAAAGCATAAATTCACATCGTTATTAAGTATACGTATGTGCATAATTACAAATGTAATTGTGTTAGGACTATCAAAGCAGCTTTGACAAGTAATCAGAATTTTCAAGGCAATTGCAACTTTATAAACACGCACACACGTGTTTGGGTGAATGTCTTGATCTAGAACAAAACATAAGAGGCTTAAATACTTTTAATTAGAACTTGTCTATTTTTCTAATGTTCGCTATTTTTGGACTGCATTTTGGCAAATTAAACAAATGAATGAACTTAAACACGCACACACACGCACACACACACACACACAACACACGCTGTTACAATTAAGTTTCTATATTTCTGTTATCAGTGTACGTGCGCGCGTGTGTGTGTGTGTGTGTGTGTGTTAGAGTGTTTGCCCACAACTACATTAACACTTTTTGGCTTTGACTTGATTTGCACAAAGCTGATGAGATGCTTCTGTTTGTCTAGCGCCCTCTTTTGTTTGGAACATTTAAATGAGAAAACTTTTATCTAGCCCCCCCGCCTGTACACTTGCCTCTCTCCGCCCAGCTAGGCATCTATCCACACACACGCACACACAGTCGGTCTCTCTCTCTCCCGCTCTTTCTCTTACATAAATAACATCTAAGAGCGAACTTAACAGCCAAATGACGCACATTGGTCCAGGAATATCCAAAAATACTCGTATTTACCCAAAAGTCAAGTAAAGCGATGTTTTTTTTTTTTTTTGGTTTGTTTGCTTTTCTGAACTGTGCAAGTTACACACAAGTTATGCGTGAGTTTTATATGACTTTTTATTGACAAAATGACAGCATTATGTGGCCGGCAGTCACATAATGATACTATAGTGCGAGTAAAGTACACTGCGTATTTGTGCATACCCTGTATTTGGGCAGCACAATTGCGAGGTTATGTTTGAAGTAAAGAATAGCCGCAAATTAGTTTGTGGTAAATTATTTAGAACTAGAATGTTTGTTAAATTAAGATACTATAGAAATTAGAAATAAACCTGTATATTAGAAATGACTCTAAAATCGGGAAATAATTTTTAAAAGTTAATAATGTAGATATTTTAGATATTAGAAATAGCCCTGTAATAGTGGAAGATTTCTTTATTCTCTATAAAATATTAAGATATATCAGAAATCAGAATTAAGCTGAAAGTTGGGCTTCCCCTTGTTTGAATTGAGTTAACACACCTGTGGCGGAATCCTTTACATAAAACTCGACTAAAGATACTTTGGTGCTTTGGTATCGAAATATGTGCATAGAACAAAGCACACGAATGTAGATATTAACATTTTATTTTCAATTCTTATAAGTGAAATATTCTTTATCGATGTACAGCATAAAAAGTTTAGAGTTGAGATCTTGTAGGAAAGTTCTATATCATACAGCTTGTATAGCAATAATCGATAAGAAATATATATGGAGATATTGAAATGTTACTACGCTAAATTGCCAACAATTGCTGAAAGGGTATTTCTGGGACGGTACGCCAAATGTTCAAAATTTTTTCTTACTTTAGATCTCGTTACATACTTACATGTAAGCAAGACCAAGTTGCTGTCATCGCCAGCACATAAAAAACTTTAAGCAACAAAATCGCATAAACTGTTGTTTAGTGAAAGTGCGATAAATCAATTTGTAATTGGGGCAAGTTTTGCCTGTTGGCCGGCTGGCCTGCTGGTCTGTTGGCCCGCTGGCCTCTGCTTGTCTATTGGTATTCCCACCCGGACAACAGACTACTGTTCCTTTTTAAGCCAAATATATATATGGTCAGATACATATGTGATTTCACTTTTGGGGACAGCCACTGAGCGGTTTTGTTGAGGACTTTTGGCGAGCTTTAGCAGTATTTAGTGTATATGTCTCTATAGATACGACATAAGCATGTATGTAAGTGCGTATAAGTATGTATTCTGCCCAACTTGATGCTGTTGTTATGGTGATAAAACGATTACATTTTGCAGCCTTTTTGGTCGACAGCTTAAATCTGTCCATGCTGGACTTTGATACAAATCCCCTGGAAAATATAAGAAAAACAACATCAACTACTTAGACAGAACAGCATACACATACTTTTTGCAAGTACAAGCATTTAGGATTAAGTACCATATATATACGTACACAAATCTGAAAAGCTGCTAAATATTTATATTTTTGTTTGATTTTATTTACAGCTGGACCTACAATTACAGGATGAAGCTGGCGGCGACATCTCCAGTTTCATAACAAATGGCGAATGGGACTTGTTAGGTGAGTTGAGATAAATTGCATTTAAGAGCATTTTTCAGTAATTTACTAATTCTGAGCATACACACACATATACTCCACACAATGAGGCCGTAAAAACAAACTGATTAAATAACTTTTTGAAACTGTTAAACAATAAACTTAACTAGCTCTAACTAATGAATAAATATTGAATACTAATTAATGACTATGAATAATTCTCATTTTCTCTTCTGCATACGCCCATCTCATTTGCACCTAATAACCAATCAACAAAACAAATACCAACAACAACAACATCAACAACAACCATATCTAAATTATACCCAACCAGGTGTGCCCGGTAAACGTAATGAAATCTACTATAATTGCTGCCCAGAACCTTATATTGACATAACATTCGCCATTTTGATACGACGGAAAACTTTATACTATTTTTTCAATTTGATTGTGCCATGCGTATTGATCGCATCGATGGCACTGCTAGGGTTTACCCTGCCACCAGATTCTGGTGAGAAGCTCTCGCTTGGTAAGTGTCCATCTAATACACACTGAAATCCAGAAACCAGAAACCAAACTAAAACTGAAACAGAAACTGAAACCGAAACTGATATCCTTATCCATATGCTCCGAAGTGTTTCGATTTTTTAATTGTTGACTTTCTGTAGGAATCTTTGCATGCTCTATAAATCAAATTTCGTCTATATGTAAAAGCATAACAATATACCAAAAAAAAAAGCACACACACACGCACACAGATACGCATACAGAGTTATATTATATTTCACTTATATTTGAAAAACGGAAGCCCATTCGCTGCAAGAGGCTGCTGGCAGTAGTAGTAGTAGTAGTAGTAGTAGGACACAAGTTGACTGCCACCATATTCCACACATTACGTATACGCCATAGAGCCTTGACTAACTATGCAAATGCAATGCAATCCAATGGCCGACGGCAATGGCAACTCTGGCAGCAAACAAACAAAGAGCGAGCAAGTGTGAGCCTCGGCGCACAAAACAGTCGCCATCATTTGTAATCAAAGTCAACGCTGGCAAAGTGAAAAATATGGCACAGCTGCTGGCCCACCTTTTTAGGACGAGAATAGGAGGCAAATGCAGGGCGACAGACGACGGACAGCAAATGAGCACAGAGCCTTGAACCCTTGAACCCCAGTTGCAACTATACTAGTTAACCATGTCAAGCAACGCAACTAAAATACAAATATTTGCAAAACATATATATATATATACATATATTTATTTATAGAATTTCTACTGCCTAATGCATCCAGCTCAGTCAATCAGTACAAGGATACTAGCTCGATTTGATACACTTGCTGTCAAACTTTCAAGCTACGAGATTAATAGATTCTAATCGATAACTATCCAAGCAAAAACGCAAGCATTGACAACTTCAGAATTTAATTTAATTTAGATATTTTCTATTCAAATAAACATTTGCAGTAATGATGAATAAGATGCTTGAATATGTTATGAATTTCTAATGAAAATTGGGATAAGGAAACTTTCTATAATATTTTTTTAACTTTTCAATAAGCCATACTATACTCAGCTTGGAAAAACTACAAAGTTTACTTTTGAATTCTTTGGTTTCTTGATATTGATATGAATATTGTGATCTGTTGATCTAAAGATGTTCTGTTGCCGCCATTTTGCCAGCGTTCGTGTCAACTTTTGCCAAGACACACACACACATGCACACTCGCGCACACATTAAGCTGAGAAAGTTATGCGAAAATGTGGCAAAATGCTTTGCAGCTCATATCCCGAGCATGTGCGACTACACGACACACACATACACACACACGCACACACATAGAGACGGCAGACAGTGGCCATGACCATGGCTATGGCTATGGATGTGGCTCATCACGTACTTTTAACACGCAGCATATGGTGCATGTCAAAATTTATACAATACTGCTATACAAAAATACTTATATAAGTATATATACTAGATATAAATATATCGCGTTTATGAGCAAGAGCTGCAAAAGTTTTGCTTGCAGCTGCCAGAAAACAAAAAAATGGCCATATTTTAAAAATTGTTCATAGCGAACACGCCCCCCTTCTCAACATGCGTGTCCGCGTGTCTGTGTGTGTGCGAGTGTGCATGTGTGCATGTGTGTGTGTGTGTGTGTGTGTGTGTGTGTGTGTGTGTGTAGCCAAACGCATTAGGGCTGCCAGCCATGGCTCATGCATAATAGACAAGTTTGCGTAAAACCCTGTGGCTAATTTATGTTTGCCCGACACTCTTGGTGGCCCTGCGCTGCCCCCTACCCCCTCCCCCCCTCTCTCTTTCTCTCTCACTCTCGCTACTGCTCAACCAGCTGACTTTTCACATAATTTATATAACCTCAAAAGAGCAAGCATAAAATATGCACAGGACACCAAAAAAATAAAAAAGATAATAAAAAAAAAAAAAAATTTGAAAAAAGGGAGCTGAAACAAAATATACTTTGATAAGGCTAAGCACTCACTGACAAATGCCAGCTGCCAAAAAGAAACCCCCAGCAAAACCATAAATAATGATAAGTTCCAGGCTTTATGACAATAACGGATGTGTGTGCAAGTGTGTGTTATTTATTTATTTTTGATTTGATTGAGAACTAGTTTTCTGACTGCGAAATTGAAAACTTTCTGTTGACGGACTTCTTGAGGTTCAGCGCAGAGAATACGGTAGTAGTTTTTTATTAAAAAAACGCAAGCCACAATGTGGGACAAGTCGCATTTATATCATATACAATATGCCATCCTTGCAGCAGGGCAGCAGCACGCAACGCTGGAGCAGCAGGCAGGATCAGGCTGGATCAGCTCTCGTGTACTCATTTCTAGTTTGGCAACTTAAGTGCAAACAGAACTAGTTGTTATCTGTACCAAATAATAATAATAATAATATTAATTTCTTTCTCTATCAACCAATTCTCTCTCCCTCTCCCTCTCTCTCTCTCTCTTTCTCTATCTGTGTGTCTTTCTTTTCCCATGTTTTCTTGCTTTCTGTACCTATTTAAAACTACATTCACTACATTCACACACGCACACACTCACATGCACACACAATTACAAATGGGCGTGCAATAATTTTGTGCTGCATACTTGCAGGAGTTACTATTTTACTATCGCTCACAGTCTTCCTGAACATGGTAGCGGAAACGATGCCAGCGACATCCGATGCCGTGCCGCTGCTTGGTAAGTAGAGGCAACGCCATCTGGCGTTGGCCGCTGGCGCATTGCCATGGGAGTTCTCTGACTTCAAATTAACGCACATTCAACTCAGCTCAACAATAACAACAACAACTACAATAACAGCTACTACAACAACAGCAACAACAACAACAACTAATCAGCTAAGATTTTTGCCTTCAGCCTCGAAAACTGCCGCCACCGTTTTCACGTATTTATCAACTGTTTTTGTTTTTCGCTTTTTTTAACGTTCCTTTTTTTTTAAATTAGTTTTTATTAGTTTTCGATTACGTTCTCATTTTCAACTGTCTCTCGGCCTGGTCTTAAAGGTGCAAAGATGCTTTCGCCGCTTACAGTGACTGCTGCAAGTATACGCACACTTTGCTGCCAACATTTTAAAGTATGTGCTATACTGCATCTCCTAAAAGAGTGAGTGGCGATAACTATTATGGGATTTAGTCGGTATTTTGGTTTTGAAAACCACATTCATTTGCTGTATTTCTTGACAATAGAAAACTCAACTGTTGCAAAACAGATTATGCTACTAAAAGAACGCTAGAAAGAGTTTCAGTCTCTGTAGAAGTCTCTTGCTATTTTGAAATGAAACAAACAATATCAGTACAATATATTAAATTGAATCTATGTAACATAAATACATATTTTCTTTATTTATCAGTGCTGTAAAAGCGCAACTTAAAAAAATTACATTTATGTTTTCCTTCATGAATCATAGGCTGTTCGTTATCCAGCTAACCGGGCTAAAGGTTCAGTTCATGATAAATATAAACAATTTCAATGCCAAACATAAGCTGGTTCATCTTAAGCTTGCGTTCTTGATAAATATGTTTGCGATTCAAACACAGGTGTTAATAATAATAATTAATAATAATACCTAACCTCTTCTCATATAAATTTGTCAACGCAACATTGAAATCAAAACTCGCCTTTCGCACCGTTGAGATTTGCAGCGCTTTTAGTTTCGAAATTGAAGTTTTGCTGTATTTGTTGATGTCCTTTTCAGATTGTTGGCTATAAACACGTACAACAAATTGCCCCGTTTCAAGTTTCCTGCAGCAAGGCACGCACCTTCGCCGAGGCTCAGGCGCCTGGCACCTGGGCCGAGAACAGGACGGGAACTTTTCTCGAGCAGCGCCGTCTTGGTGTGCTCGGACATTCAGAAATCTTTTAGTGTCTAGTTTCTGATGTTTGTTTGCTCTTTGTTTTCTTAATATTTCATTTAATGGCCGGCAAATGGAGGCGATGGCAGTGTCTATGGCAGTAGGAGGTGGCGACCCCGTCGCGTCGTTACTTGGGTCGCTGTGATTTAAGCGATTTCATAAACTTTGAAAATTTATGCGCCGCACACATCTCAAGTTTATCCCAATCACGTGCATATAGTTCACAGCCCAAGTTGCACGCACACCCGAAACAGTTGCAAATGGTAAAACCCAGCAGCCAACTTTTTATCTTATACATACATATATAGATGTATCTATATATATACCACACATCCTTAACTACTTGGAGCTGCCACGTATTAAAAAGTATTCAGCAAAGTGAAATAAATATTTAGTTAGATATGTTTTCGTTGTGGTGGAAAAAAAGTCAATATTAAAACAAAGAAACTCCCGAGCGCAGTCAAAAGACGAGACACAACACAGTGCCTAACATAAGTAAAAGGAAAAGACCAGAAAAATCAGCGAAGACAACAATTTGAGCTATGAAAATCTCCCAAAATTATTAAAATACCCTTAACTTTGTAGTCTTTTTTTTTTAAGATTTTAATAATAGGATAAGAACACGGATTAGCCCCAGGTAATTTATTTATGGAGAAATCAAATTCTCTTCTAATTTGTTAAGACAGCTTAAATCAGTTAGTTAGTGTAACTTTATGGTCGTTATTCTGCTAAAATCATGAAACGCATTTACAAACAAGTGTAGCTGCATATATTTCGGTATGTATGTGTAAAGGTGTGCCTGTATGTATGTGTGTGCTTAGCTATGTGTAAAGGTACCAATATATTTATATATATGCATACATAGCTCATTAAAATAAATTCATGTTTCTAGTTGAGCCTTGTGCAATAATTAGTTAATAATCTAGATCTTCAAACCTCATCCTGCATTACAATACATGCATTTAACAAATGTGCTTCATTCGATTCGCGATACGAAATCAACTTACTGCCTTATTATTTGGATTTCCGTATCTGTAAGCCATATTTCTTGATCCAATCTTGTTTTTTATATATTTTCAATTGCCCGTTGTACTGAAAATATTTCAAGCCTTGTACCCAAAATTCGCATCTACCAAATACCCGAAATTCGTTTCGTCCTATTCAAATCGATTTGGTTGGAAAACAATTTGCCTTGATAATAATGTAGAGTAAAAACAACTAGGAAGATTATCCTTCTGCGTATGCCGAATCTTAAATATCCGTGCAGGCTTTATAATTTCATGGAAATCCAATCTGTCCGATCTCTGATTTCTAATAAAGTGCCAAACATCTTAACAAGTCTACACTGAAAATTATTTCTGATGATCTGGCAAAAATCCAGGCTTTCCAGAAGCATTCCCATAGTATATCAAGGATAGCTTTGTTAATGCAATAAATTTCAACACTCTATTATTTCGATAAGAATACATACAAATATATATAAAAATATATATATACACACATACATACATGTATATACATTTTAGAGATTCGTGTGAATGTGATTAAGTCAAAAGCGCTTCATCTTAGGATCATATGATATTAATACATGTATGTATGCACATGCATGCATGATGTGTGTATGTAAGTATATCCCGTATGTTCACACCTTAAGTGAATAGAGGATTGCGATACAAATTAGGTAGTGCCGTTAACATAACTAGAAACGTACAATCCACATAAATGCATCGATATAGTGCATATTGGTTGGGTTACTTGTAAATTACCATAACTAAGTAAATCCTACTTGAAGCATGATAATACCAAGAAAAAAAAAACAATAATAATCCATAATAAAGCGTTCAGTGTTCCAATTCTATCATTTGTAGCCTAATCGTAAGGTAAGTCATGTGTACGTCATATTATTGATAAATACGTTCATTCTTTAAATTTCGAAATTGAATTGAAATATCGATAAAGTTGGGTTAGGTTCAGTTCGACCTGAATCTAATCCCAAACAATGTCCAAACTTTAAAATGTTTGAGATAAGAAATACATATATATGCAAAAATACACCCAGTATTCCGTTAAATAAAACCCTATCATCCATTTATGCATGCCAGGCCATATACCAAGATTATTTGATTTTCATGGTTACATTCTAGTTATCATAACAAGTATACTCCATTGCACAGATGATATATAAGTATGTATGCATCACACAACACACACACACACACACACACATACTACAGTTACAAATGCAAACATACATTAATTACTAACACGCACACACACACACACACAGAGACACAGACGTATTCACTAAATTCACAAACTTATCAAACGTAGTAGTGTATTTTAAATTCCGTATCTTGTATCTTTTATCGTATCGAGGACTGGTATGGCAACAAACTCAAAGCATGCACTCTGAACCTTTCGATAGACAAACTCTTGTATTTGGTAAATCGAAATCATGAAAACCAACAAAAAGTAAAAAACAAAAATCGAACGAAATAAAAAGATGGCCAGATTCATGAGTCGGGAGTCGAGAGAGTCGAGTATTAGGCAACTTAGCCAAGTTTCCCCTTAAACATAAGAATTATTATTTTTATATTTAGTACGTATGTAATACACAAATAACTGTATATTTTATTAACAACTTGCGTAGAGCTTATTATTTTCGATTCTGTGATTTATATTTTGGATTTTATGCGTACAACGAGTGCTCGCATTATTAATGCCAGTGTCAGATATTGCCAAGGACCACTACCACATAATGTAAAAGAAAAAACGTTCTTGTTGGCATGCAAGAACACAAATGCCTATAAACTGTTGAAATGCCCCGCCCCCACATTCCGTCCTGTTCCGTTACACATACACACACACGCACACACACACACACACAGTCGCACACACATAGCACACACATGTATAGCTAAACCAATACGAAAAATAAACAATTGCTGAAAACTATCCCAAATAATGTTTGTATTGCACATTCATGCTAGATATGAATACAAATGTGAGTAAAAGTATGTGAATATGAATATGAATGTGTCATGCAGTAATTCATGCAATATATGTATATATATATATATATATATGTATATATATACAAATAGATATTTTTATATTTATATGCATATCCCACCCGAATAGCGTTTTGGGACTGTGAATCGGGGGCAATGGCAGTGTCAACGTCAACGTTAACTTCTACGACTACGTCAATGTCAACCGGGGCCGCTGTTAATTGGAAACTAGCACACGCACAGCTGCATACACACACACATACACACGCACACAGATACATTTATACATTTATACATATACTACAAAGGGAACAGTAATGTAAATATCAATTGAAACAATGTAATGTCCGTGATTAATATACATGTATAAAAAATTGAAACTAATTCAGTCTGTCTTCAACTTTTCTTCACTCTCTCTCTCTCCCTTTCTCTCTCTCTCTCTCTATATATATATATATAAATATATATATAAATAATTATATATAATTATATATATGTGTGTGTATATACACGAGTATCTTATGCTATGTCTGCCTTTATCTGTATCTTTAGCTCGCTCTTTAAATACGCACACGCAAGAAATAATTGTATAGCAAAATTTGTTGATCCTTTGCATGTGAGATCGCAATATTGCATCCGGCTTGGACCTAAAAACACAGGATAGCCAGGAAAACCCGCAACTGAAACTGACTGTACTCTGGTGTACATATGTATATTATAAATTCCTATAGATAGGACGGTTGTTTAAGTTCGGTTGATGGCAGGCGGCTTTTGGAACAGTGAATCAGTAATTTGTATGTGTACATATGTGTATGTTTTCTCGAAATTTTGTGCAGGCTCAAAACGAGTTTTGTTACCATAAGTATGTGTACATATTTGTCTTACAAGTTTTTGTATTTTCTTTTCTTTTTTTTTTTTTTGAGTTCATTAATTGATTTTAGTTTCTCGATTTTGGAATTGGTTTAGTTTTGTTCGAATTCTCTGTGAAGTAGTGTGGTAGAAACTCTCTTGTTGTTAATATACCCCAAGCCTTTTACAAAATTATTGCTAACTGCATATCACATATTTTAATATATGTTTAATGGTGTTTCGCTTCTTTAACCAACAAACACACGCTCAATCGCAGACACAACATACACACACACACACACACACACACACACACACACACACACAATACATACATAGAACACCATTGTATCATACACAATTAGCTGAAAACACATGTAAATAAATCACATAACGTATTTTTTATTCCAATGGATACCTTTAGCATACATACTTACATACATGCATATGCATATGCATACATATGTGTGCATATGTGCATCAAATACTACCTACCGTAGTTGAATCGTACGTATGTCTGATGTATGCCAACTTTTGCGCAATCGTTAAGGTAATTCCATGAATATCCATTATGCATATGCGACTAGTTGATGTATACAAACATTCATTCATATGCTTAAAGCGGCTTTTAACCTACAATTATGTAGTGGAGTGTATGGAACCCTAACAAAAAACAATATATATCTAAATATAAATTCAAGAGTATGTAAAGCTAATATGCGATTTTACTAATTAATATGCACAGTGAAATGGCGACAGTTTTTTCTTTTATTTCCTTTTTCCTTTAGCATTCCGCCAAAAATTGAAGTGAGATACATATGTAAATATAGAAAGAAGAAGCACACATATAATTTTGAAAACAAATTGCCTTATTAATCCCATGTTTACATAGAGTTTCGGTTGTTTGATTTTGGCTTTACGATTTCGCGCTCACTGTGCATAACCTAAAAAAAAATGCAATTAAATAGTATAAGATAAATATGTATATGTAAATCCAAGCAGTCAAATTGCAACGCACTGATCCAAACAATTAATTTACCAGATCCATACCTATTTAATTGCCATTTAACAAAATACTAACAAAACTATCAACAACAGCAACAACAATAACAAGCACAAGTACAAACAACAACCGTAGCCAAACAGAATACCAACCAACACCTTTTGCCCAAGACCCACGTCTTTCATCAATTTACAGCTGAACAATTATGAAGAACCAAATCAGATCTCGATTTTTAACTAAAAATGATGATTGCGGATAATTGGTTGTGCACAAAAACTAAAAATAAAAATAAAAATAAAAAGACATGATATGAAATGAAATGAAAACAAATCCCAAAAGCAGCAGGGCTTGAAACTAACCAAGAAAAACAAGAAAAACTAAAATGATGAGCAAAATATTAATGTCGCTGGTCAACCAGCGAAATGCAGCAAGAGCCAGTCAGTTTTGAAGGAGCATCATGTCGAACGCGCGGTCCAGTTCAAAGGACACACAGCTCCTTGTCCAAAGGAAGCGAACACCCTTTGAATTGGGCCACAAGTTTGCCGGGCTCTACGATTAGAAGGGCGGGCACCGGGGCAGAGTTTAATAACTAAGTAGCACTGAGCTTTTCCAATTTACTATTCTTAACTTATTATATATTTACTTATAACATTTATTTTTATTTAGTTCTTTTTTTGGCGAGGCGTACACCTGTAAAATAACTTAAACTCTCACTGAAAAAAATACAAAATAAATTCAAATTTAAAATATATACATATAAATGTTTATATATTTACTAATTTTTTTTCATATACTGCTTTGAACTTTTTCTCTAACTTTAACTCCTACTACTTGCCACAAGTAAACTTTTAGTAAGCATTAAGAAAGAACTGAATAACAACAACAACAACAACAACAACAACAACATGAACACCTTCTTACGAGTCTGTTGTTGTTGTCCTTTCAAATTTGTTGTAAGATACGATGCGAATTTGTACATAGAACAGCAAGCAATAAAATAATGTGTCTATTGTTTTTACGTAATAAACAAACAAACACCACAACAAACACACACACTCAATACTCAACAATTGCTTTTCGATAACGATAACGATGAAACAGGAAAAGGCATATATATATATATATACATATATATATAGGTGTTTAAGGGCAACGTCATTTAATGCCAAGAAACTGCATTGCACCGAGTATTGAAATACAAATATGCGAAAATGAACAAGCACAACAACAACAACAACAACAGCGACGAAAACAATTAAAAAATAAATAAAATATTTAGCATAGAATGAGCGCAAAGCGAATTCGATAAATCGATATATTACCACAATGTTTGTGTAATTTTTGTGTCCTTCTAGGAACTTATTTCAATTGCATTATGTTTATGGTGGCCTCTTCAGTTGTGTCAACCATACTTATCCTCAATTATCATCATAGAAATCCAGATACGCATGAAATGAGTGAATGGGTAATATTTATATTTAAACTAACTAAACTTAACTAACTTACTTGCTAACTACTTACTTACTTACTTATTTATAACAACAACAACAAATAAGCTAAAAAGAAAACTCGATTCTTTCTTTTGATTTTTCTTTCTGTTTTTGTTTTTACATATTAACAAGTTTTTGGTTTTTGTTTTTTTTTTCTGAGCTTTCTGAGAGATACTGATACGTTTTTCAATTGATATTCCTTTTGTCAAAACAAAACGATCATTTCGAAAAAAAATGAAATGCCAATAAGAACATGCAACACCCAAAATACTCCACAATCCACAGTCCACACTCCACACTCCAAACACGCACTCACTCAAACAACATACAAAACCAAAAAAAAACCGAACCCAAAGAACTGAATAAACCCTTTGTATATACTATTTTATACCCATTTACTTACCCATATATACATATATATACATGCTAATGTATAACTTAACATATTTAAACTTTTAGACATTGAAAACTAAAAACACACTTGCATACATATTTACTTACAACTCGTATGCATAAACTAGTTTCTTATACTTTTACACTAAGCTGCATGCAAAATGAAAAACATATTGCAAGTCATACGAAAACGTAAGGAAAAGCCAAAAATGGAGAGTTTGTAAAAAGAATATCTAAAAAAAAGCCAACAGTTTAAACAGTTATTTAATAATATAGAAAAAAAAAACAGGCATAAATTTATAGTTAATAATGTGCTTCGGGCTATTATTTTATAAGCAAATTTCTGTAGAGGAACATAAAATTTCCCAATGCTTGTGCTTCTGACTTAAATCCTAGTCACATTTTTATTAATTTTATTAAATTTTCATGCTTAAAATATATTTTTTAAGTGATACCCAAAAATAAAAATTGCACATAAGTATAATTATAAAAAAAATTAAAACGAAGATGGAAATATGTAAGTTTCTTGAGCTCTTAGCTTTTTGCATAGAATTTCCATGTTGCATAGAGTTTCCTTTCAAAACGAACCCAGTTTTGGCAACTATTTTGATTAAATTGTCTTGAATCCAGACGTGAGACAAATACAATTAAAAAAAGGATTCAAGTTCTTTTTGTATTAGAATGAGATTTTATGGCAAGCTGCAAATATTCATACAAAAAGTTAATGTCAAAGAAATGCTTTGAAATGCATATAACTATTTATGAAATAAATATATATTTACTTAAAACGTTTTACCGTAATGTTGCATAGACCTATCTAACTATGTTTTAAACAGATTAATTTAAATACAATAATATGCCATGACTTTTTTTAAATTTCATTTAAGAAAAGAGTCCATAGAATAGAGTACATTCAAGCAAATTAATTTGATTTATTTGAATGAGATGCTTCTACTTAATTGCCTTCTAAGTATTTTCATTTTTCTATACTTATTATACTTGCATACATATGAGAACCAAAGCACAATAATCACACCGAATTTTTATTTTTCTAACAATTATTCTGGCCAACAACTACAACAACAACTACGTTAACTGGCAACTCTCAACGCTAAAAAAAACAAAAAAAAAAAACAACTACTCAACTCAAATGCCTCTTCAACTGTTTCCTTTTCTCCCTGTAACTAACTAACTAACTAACTAACTCTAAAATAACTATCTTCGTACAACTACAACTACAACAATATCAACAAATCCAAATGTGGCCCGCACTTGTCTGTGGCCCCAAAACGCGTGTGCTTTTGCTATCCTCTTCCAACACACTCACAACCACATGTGTTATCAACAACAACAACAACAACAACAATAAAAACAACAACAACCTCAACCAACTTAACAACAATATCAATACAAAACTCCACTTAAAAAAATAAATTTAAATAAAATAAAACATAAATTATAAACATGCCCAAAACGTAAACAATTTTCCTAAAACTAAACCTTAAATGCAAATAAATTAAACTCTCATCTCTGTATGTCTTAAACCGTGTGATTGCCGTGTGTCGTTTTCTAATTTTTATCAATAATTACCACAAAAACAACAACAACAACGACAACAACAACAACAACAATAACAATAACATAAATCACTTCATTTATTGAACACTATGAATTTAAATGAAACACTTGTTAATCTAATCAAACTAAACGTAAACATAAACTGCTTCTAAAACCAAAAAAACAAAAAAAATATTTTAAAAAAATGCTATATATACGAAAAAAAAAAAAAAAATCCAAAAATATACTTATTGCTATTATTTTTAACCGCATTACCCAACACACTCCGTCTCTCTGTCGAACTCGCACACACAGATAAGAGTAATATTCCTTTATTGGTTACCTTGCATATTGCGCATGCAAAGACCCGGACAGGTTGGCTACGAATGCCCGCCGCCGCCCTCGTCGTCTGGCTCCTCGAATGCTGGTGACAAAAAGCAACAGATACAAAACGTTGAGCTTAAGGAAAGGTAACCAAACTATCTCACACTCCCCCCCTGTCTCTACCTCTGTCTCTCTCTCTCTCTCTCATTCTCTGATTAGCAGCTAATACTCAATAATCATATATATATAATATATATATTAAAATAATTCATTTGAATGATATGCTAGCACTCAATAATGTCTCACACTCATACAGATCCTCGAAATCGCTGCTCGCCAACGTTCTCGACATAGACGACGACTTTCGTTGCAATCATCGTTGCGCCAGTGCCACGTTGCCCCATCAGCCCACGTACTACAGGACAATGTTCAGGTAAAGTCCAATAAACTCAGCACATAACACGCTCTGAGGTATGTTTAGGTGTATAAGACTCTAAGACTAATCAGAGCTATTTCTGCAAATAACTTCTAGCCAAAAATGAGGCCTTAAAGAAAACCTCTTGAGCTGCAACATTTTGGCAGGTTCAGCTATAGAAATAAATCAAAATCAATCAAACATCTATTGTCAATCAATTCTGCTTGAACTTAGTATAAAACAGAGCGAAGTATTCAAACAAATTATATTTTATTCTTTATCTTTATATACTAAATGTTAAAGACAATCTCGAATCTCGAATTTGGTATTCTTCACATTTATTCATTTATATGCCGATCAATCAGCTTAATAATCCAATATTTCCAGAATGCGCACTTCCAGCTCATTGCGCAACTTCTCGGGCACCAATTTGCTTGCCTTGGGTATAAGCTCGGCGGCAATTTCCTCATTGCGCACATTGTTCACACCCCTCTTGTCCAGAATGCTGCGCACCATTTTCCGGATATCGTCACGCCAGCCGCAATCGTGCAGGCGTCGGTACATCAGATTCCTTAGGGCGTCCATGTCTTTGTCGCTGAGCAGGTACAGCTGTTCTTCTCCAGAATCTGCTGTGGCATCGGACTCCTTGCTGCTGGCCATAATTCCACAAAATGTATTTCAATTTGCTTTCTGATATGATATCTCAGAATATATTTTCCATGCCAGCCTGATGCCTTTCGTTTGACGTCCAGGTTTTTCTTCTTCTGCTGAAAAGTTGCAGTTCCATGGAACTAGAAAAGGTGCATTTATTAATATTCAAGTGAAGTTTTACTATTCGTAGGACGACTTTCTATTTAAAATTGGCTTAAATTAGAAAACCGGTTTAATGATAATCTACATTTTACTGCGGGTTTTTATTCCTTGGAAAGAGTTCCTATATATAAATATATACCTAATTTAAGGGTGAAATCGAGCTGAAATATACAAAAATTGTAGCGAAAATCTTTAGGAAGGAACGTGCTTAATTAAAAGAAAATATTTTATAAAAATTTTTATTGAATCTTTTTTCCATATATATAAAACACATTTTGTAAAAACTAACAAATCGATTTTGTAAAATTCGGAGTATCACTTCTTAAATTTTGGTAACATAAATCAAATATTTGGCGTGCAAACTATTAAGGAATATTTGTTTTCATATAACCAAAGAAGAAACGCCAAAGTATACTATAATATACAAGAGTATTTGCATGTTGTTTAGACTGAAATGAAAGCTCGAGCTACAAATGAAAAGACAGCGTGTAAGAGCACGATCTTTGGGTGCGCTTAGCGCACTTGTTCTACATAATTGCTTGTGAATTGGCATTTTAATCATCTTCCCTCGCCGGCTCCAAGATATCGCGCACACGCATCTCCACCTCCTTGAGCAGCTCCTCGGGCACCAATTCGCGAGCCTTGGGTATGACCTCGGCGGTGATATCCTCGTAGCTGACATTGTACACGCCCCGCTGCTTCAGAATGCTGCGCACCATTTTCTGGATGTCGTCGCGCCAGCCGCACTCCCGAAGCCGTTGATGCACGAGTTTCCTTAAAGCGTCCGTTTGCTGAATGCTGAGAAGATTCGAGTGCTCCCCACCGGGTTGGCTTGCATCTTCAGATTCCTTGCTGCTTGCCATTCCACAAAACTGATGAGTAACTGCTTATAGAATCTGAGGTTTGCAATAATCTAGATCTATAGCAAATTATAGCCTGATGATATTTTCCATGCCAACTTGATGAGTTTCTTCAAGTTTTTCCATTTATTCTGATCAATTAATAAGCCATAAATCTTGCATTGCTTGAGCCTATCAGGTACATTTATTTTCTTATAAGGAAACGCCTAAGTATAGTATAATAAATTTAGTTCAGACAAATAGAATTCAGTGAGTCGCAGAAGGACCTTAATGTGCTGTTCCAATTGTTTTTGTATATATTAAATTATATTAAGTCTTCATCAGTTACCTTGGCCTGCTCCAGGATCTCGCTAACGCGCACCTCCAGCTCCTTGCCCACCTCCTCGGGCACCAATTCGCGTACCTTGGGCATAACCTCGATGACGATTTCATCATAGCATATATTGTTGACGGCCAGACTATCCGTCATCTTGTTGTTGGTAGGCCAGACTCCGCAAATCGTCCGTATCCTTGACGATGAGTTCTATTTTGAGTAGGTTTTGTGTTTTCGGACTCCTGTTTGCTTGCCAATTTTTAGAGAAAAACGCCTATCAACTCTCTTATTGAACCTGAAATATACAATATAAAAGTCAGTCGGAAGCAACTGGAAAATATGTTTATATATATTCTATGCCAACTTGATGAATGAATTGCGGGGCATTCAAATTGTTTTCTCTTTTGGCTTGGTTCGTATTAAGAAAAACAAAAACTGTTTGTGGCTGTCTTCTATTCCCATGCTCTCTGAAATATAAGGCCATTCAGCATTAATATATTAGATTTGAAAAACTGTAAACGAGCTGGCGACAATGTCAGTAGTTAAAAAACCATATGGATTGGCTATTCTTGGCACGCTGAAGATTAAATACTCTAGTAGACATTTGACTTCAAAATCAGGACCATTACTCCTCACCGATTATTCCTATTAGAGCCATACGATATAGCTGTCCGATTTCATATAGCTTTGCAGATATGTTGAGTTTGAACAAAATATTGTACAAAAACAAAAAAGGTTATTCGAGCGATTCTTGGTATAAAAAGCTCTATGATAAAGTAGTCCCATGTTGCAAAGCTTTTGTCTATATCCAAAGCCTAGATTAGAACATGTAAGCACCTAAATCTTGGTAGCTATATGATATAGTAGTATTCCATTGCCGAGAAAAAGACGGACGAATAAAGGAGTTAGCATAGATCCAAACAGATGAAATAGGCTAACATATATTGACTTGGTTTTCGACACTGATCCAGAATATTTATACATTGTGGGGTCGCAGATGAGCTCTTTTATGCGAAAATATTAATACCCTGCATGAGGGTATACAAAAGACGCATTAGTTTGATAAAAGATGTAGAAAAATAACATAAAACAAAAACAAAAACAACAGCAACTCGAAGAAGAAACATCCTTATACGCATCCGCATTCTGTCCCCATTCCCCATTCAGCAAAGCCTCGAATGACAGTCAATGACAATGACAATGACAATGACAAGATGTGTGCCGCAACAACAAAGACAACAACAGCAGCAACAACAATATCAGCGACAAAAATACAAACATGCCCCAGCCATAGAAAATAGTGGCAAGTGGCAAGTGGCAAGGACACGCATTTAGTGACAAGCAGAACGCACAAATGTGACGACTGAAAAACAGAAATACAATCGTAATAGGAAACCCTTGAGGAGGAACTAAACAGAATGCCTGGGCACAGGCACGTGGCCCAGCTGTGCACCCACAATGGACCACTGAATTGGGTCAATAAACTACCAGTGACAATTACGCTGTCTTTAAAAAATATTGAGTTGGGTTATTTATGCGAAATTCTTAGAAAATATGTTCACAAAAGCAAAATGCCCCCATATGCTGTTCAAATCGCTTTCAATCCCACTGCCAAACGACATGTTCAACGAACTGACTTCAATTGTTATTTGGCCCATTCTTTCAAGCGTGACATATTAAATTTCAGCTCAGTTTTGTTTCCATTAAGGCTCCTTAACCTCATCTTCGAGTCACTCAATTATCTTTCAAGGTGCATTTGTAGCTAGATGTGATTGACAATTCGTTAAGCTAAACGTTTGGCTTACAAAATTATTTGTGCGAACCTACATTTCTCGATTGTACTCCCTCCATTTTAGTGGCATCATCAGATTCGTTGCTTTAAAATTTGTACAAAAATGATTTCAACTTGTTTATTAAATCTGTAGTTTATAATAATTAAGCATATAAATCCATAATTAAAGCAAATATTTTCAAGTTCTAATTCTTTTATATTAGTTTGAGTTTTACACTTAATTTTGCTATCATATCTCAGATATTTCCCGACCATAAGTTACCCTCATGTTCCATTTAAAGCTATCAGTATTATTTGCTATTTATAATCAAAGGAGGACGCTATAATATTCGAGAGTATATATAATATATTTAAGATAGAGTTCAATTTAAATTACAAAGTATATTTCGATATCGTTTTCAGTGTCAACTTGTTGTGTTTAGTTCTCCCACCTATTCAAAAGTATTTTCTTCTTTCGACTTTTAATTAGAGCTCCCTCTCTCGCTCTCTCCCTCTTTCTCTCTCTCGCTCTATCTCTATCTCCCTGGATCTTTCTGGCTCTCTCTCTCTCTCTCTCTCTCTCTCTCTCTAATCTGATCTTCGGTTAAATTAAAAACCATATTTACTCTAAAATGCATTTCCCAAAATATATGGGATGCGGGGAAGAGGCAGAAAAGTCGCTGTACATGTGTATGCGTGTGCGTGTGCGTGCGTATGTTTGTATATACAAAAGGAATTTGGAATGCTTGTTGCGTGACTCGGCGTCGGATGTAGGGTATCTCCAAGGCGGACACTCCCGACTGTAGCACACCCTTTCGCTAATGCCGAACGTGATGTGAGACAATATCGTTGCATAAGCATATATAATAATGCTCTTGCCCGTCCCGTGGTAGTAGCCAGCCAAAAGGCAACAAAGGCCAAAATGAAAAATCGTAGGATATTGCATCAAAGAGTCCAAAGTGTTTGTCATGTCAACAGCAATACTAGCCGAATAGGCAAATAAAGGGGATGGATGAAAGAGACGTTTACGATAAAAGCAATGAAATTGATGAAACTGATGCAATGAGTTGTTTATACAGGCAAGGCGACGATGGCAGCGTGGGTCCGGTGGGTCCGGTGGGTCCGGTGGGTCCCGTGGGACCTGTCGCCGCCGTGGCCGATTCACGTATGCACGAGGCCATTTCACACACTTGTCTCAGCTCCTCGGCCGAGTATGAGCTGGCGCTGATACTCAAGGAGCTGCGCTGGATAACCGATCAGGTGGGTAAATCAGAAACTGCACAACTCACAAATGCATGCCCAAAACGCTGTCAATGGATTATAATTACAGCTGAAAAAGGAGGACGAGACAGGCGACATAACGCGGGATTGGAAATTTGCGGCCATGGTCGTGGATCGCTTGTGCCTTATTATTTTCACGCTTTTCACAATTATAGCCACTCTGGCGGTATTGTTTTCGGCACCACACTTCATTGTAAGTTGCAGCAAGAAAAAAAAAAGAAAGGAGTTTTGAACTTTTGCACTCATGATATGTTCCTTCTAGTTCCCATAAATGAATGCTTCATACAACTCTGACGGTCTACGTAATTCTTCAGTTTGATACAAGTCGTACAAATATTGTTTCTACTTTTGTAAAATATTTAAGCAAATACAAAGAAGATAATAACTAAAAACATAAACTATCTATAAAAACAAAATACATAAACAAATGAATGCTTTTCAAATTAATATTCCTTTGAATTCGAATCCTTTATACATATTTTATCAATAAAAAATGTTAATGTTTATAAACTTCGAATAATAGCATATTGTACGACACACGGATTTTCAGATATTTTCTCGTCTACTGATACCATAATTTGCATTTATTTTCTGTTTTTAATTATTGTAAAATAATTGGTTTCGTTTCAAAGTCTTTCACAATTATTCTATGATTTTCATTTTTAGTATGTAAAATAGTGTATACAAATATGTTGCTGTGATAGAAAAAAAGTATGAACAAAACGTAAACCAGTCACAATAAATTTCAAATTTAAAATGAACAAAGACAAAAATACAAAAAAAAAAAAAGAGAAGAAAACAAACAAAGAATTAAACTAAATATAAAACTAAAACAATGGCACACACACACACACTCACACACAAGACCTTTAATTTTTGTTATATTTATTGAAATTTCTTTGATTTTATATTTATGTTTTTTGAAAATGACCAAAGAAATAATTTAAAAAGCAAAAAAAAAGGATGAATTCAGTAAGGTATAGCTAAAACCTGGCTTATTAGCATTAAAATTGGCAATTGTCGTCGGCTTGGCACACAGACCCAAAAGGCACATTACGCAATTTGTTTATGTATAAAACAAAGAATCTTAACGAAGCACACTCTAAACATACATACTAGTTAGCATAGCTTATGTCGTATCGTGTTCTTTAGACAAACGTGTTTGTAACGACTTTTTTTTTTGTTGACATTTTCAACAATTTCGGCACTCAATTTGCACCGCATTCGTCGAGCTACAAGAAAAATGTTGATTAAAAAAAATAACTTAGAAAAAAAGCAAATGCATATGAAGAAAACATTAAAGGACAACTGAATACTTGTACAATGCGAAAAGAACTTCAGTTGGGAATGGCTCACATAACGTTAATACTAGACAACAACATGGCCAAAACCGCGACAACAACAGCAACAACAACAACAACAATAAAACGAAATAAAAGAAAGCTTAGTTAAAGCAAATGAAAGATCACAAGCTAAAGAAGCAGCACAGCATAACCGTTGAGGATAGAAGTCGAAAGCAAAGTATAAAGTTAACTATTTTTAAATATTATATATACATATATACGAGTAAAATTTAAAGGTATGTAGCATAAAAATGCGTATGCAACTTAGCTAAAGAATGCTTCTACAAAAAGTAAAATTTAAAAAAAGAGCAAAACAAATATATATAGTAAAGTAATAACAACAGTACTTAGTTTAAGCGATAGTTAAAGCCTAGAGCAGGAGGTTAGTCAAATATACATATGACAAATACTTAAGTTATAAACTAATATAAATGTCAAGCAACAAAATTAATTATTATAGACATGAACAAATTTTTAAACGAACAATTTCAACAAAGAACAGCAAAAAGTTAACAGCAAATTCGTGCGTAGCGTAAAACAGCAAATGTATTCCATTTCCGATACAGATACAGATAACAAAATTTAAACAAATTGAAAAGAAAAAAAATATTTTAAATATACACACACATACACACACACACGAACCGTTTTTTTAGTATATACATAATTAGACAATTGATATGTATTTTATTTTGCATAACAAACAGAACAACTAAGTATCTAAATGTCAAAGTCAGAGACACCAACACAATTACGCTGTAAACGAATTCTAATTTCTTGTGTCACATTGACATGCTTCTTATTAGCAAGTACCATGCATATTGGTCTAAATGTACATTAGCATTAGGTCAGGGGCATTAACATACTTGAATTTCCAGTACTTGCCGCATGTAATGAAAAGAATTTTTTTTTTTTTTTTTTGGTGTTTAGCCATATAAGAAACACAATAATCGTATGCATGTATGGGTATTTTTATAGTATAAATGCAACACATACATACACGTATATATATATATATATATATATCTACTTGCATACATACATATATACAGATATACATATGCGATTGTGGTATGTATGTTTATCAATTAGGCAGCCAATTACATGTACTTAAGTAATATGCAATACATATATACACACACATACTAATTAACAGCTACAACACAACACCAAAAGCTGCTAAGGGCTATGCACAAAAGCAAAGGTCTTCCTTAATCTTAAAGCCAAAAACTAAAAACAAACAAATAAATAAATTACTTACTTACTAAACTGATGGAAAAAACATTAAACACAAAAGTTAAATCAAAAGCTTAAACTAATTATAGAAAAAAAAAAAAAAAAACAATTACTAAACAAACAATTTTTAAATGCATGAATATTTAACTAAGCGTTTGAAATCAACTGTTAATTAACATTTTATGAAAATGTTAGCCGTCTGTTAGCCTCACAGCGGAGCTTTTAGCGTCGGCTAGCGACTGCACATAAAGCTCTGCCATAAACCGGCAACACGCCATAAAACTCTTTTTGGTCTAAGCTTGCGCTGCCGATTGGCATAAAAGACGTCAACTTAAGACGGGAAACAAACACCAAACGGAACATTGGAAAAAAGCTTTTCACAAAACTTTTGCTCTACACTTGTAATAATAATTAGTACGGGAGCATAATGTTATCAATAATGCACTCAAAAAAGTTTAAGGCCTTTTGTTAGTTAGCATTAATATTATTTATTTTATTAAGAGTAGCATACTGTTATACTTATTGTTATAATAATAATTATAATTAATTGTCTCATTATTCTTATTATTATTAATTTCATTCTTATTTTTTTCAAAAAGAGTATTCTGTTATTAATAATGTACTAAAATATTACTGCACTTTTTATTTTATTTTGTATTAATAATAATATTATTATTAATATATTTTATTATAATTCTTGTTGTTATTGGGGGAGGTATTAGTAATGTCATTAGTAATGTACTTAAATATTGTTTATGTTTTAATCTCAATCCTATTTTTCTTTTCATTGTTATTTTGCTTCTCTTTATTATTATTATAATTAATTTGATTATTATATTTTTATCAGGACTGCAAACTCTTAAATTCGTCATTTTCTTCTTCAAATTTTTCAAGTAGCAATTCAATTTTCTTAAACCTGAAAATATCTCAAGCCAAATGTTTTGGGAGTCAAATTGTTCTCGAAGGTTTTCTATTTTGAAAAAAAAAAAACAAAAAACAAACCAGCTCGGAATTCATTCGGTTCGGACGTCGATTCATCTGATTTTTTGGGCAACTTTGAGCTTTGTCTTAGACTATGGCATTTTCCAAAGTCCCGAGCGTGGTGTTGATTTGTGTCAAAGAGAATGGATTTTTTCTAAGTAAGCTGCAAGTCCTTGAAACCTTGCTCGACGGCTAACAACTGAACTCTGAACTCTAAATAAAGATACTTGTTAAACAAACCGAAAATTAAACATTTTAAATGCTTAAAATACGCACTTAAACCAAACTTAAATCTAAATAAAGACAAGAGAATTAAAGTCACGTAAGAAAAGGAAAAAAACGAATACTTAAATAAATTTAAAACTAAATTTTGCTCAAATACTAAAGCCAAATTAATGCAAATCGCATCCGGCTGCCGCGAATTTACTACCAAAAACAATGCAAAAATAAAATAGAATTAAAGGAAATATAAACAAAAGAAGAGGAAAAACAATAAGAAACACCAAATCTGAAGCCTAACAGACGCAGTGAATCAATAAAAAAAAAAGCCAAGAAAAATAAATACAACTATTAAAGGGTAATTTTTTCCACGTAGTATTTCCACGCAATTTTGTTGTAAAATGTTTTTATTTGAAATTGACATAAGTTATTTAAATTTATATAAATGAACGAAAACTAAACCAAAACCAAAACAACAACCGTTTTTGATGAACTTTTTTTTTTAGTATGAAGTACATTTTGAATATGTATTAATAATGTAAATGGTTTCATACACACATCAAATGTATTCAGAGAAACACGAGTATTAGCTAACAAATGCGTTTTATAAATATGACAACGTTTCAAATTCAATTTCAATCCCATTTAAGGCAACACGCACTCAAATTCTCAATAAAAGAAACTTTGAAATTCGCGCAGCTATAGGAAATCCTACAGGGGAACTACAATTTTTATACCCTGAACTCATTCAAAATGGGTATAAGGGTATATTGGATTTGTGCAAAATCCAAATGTATGTAACAGGCAGAAAGAAGCATCTCCGACCCCATAAAGTACATATATTCTTGATCAGCATCAATAGCCGAGTCGATCTGGCCATGTCCGTCTGTCTGTCCGTCTGTCTGTCCGTCCGTCCGTCCGTATGTATGAACGCAAGGATCTCAGAACCTATAAGAGCTAGAAATTTTAGATGCAGATGCTCCTAGTTCCCGCGCAGATCGAGTTTGTTTCCGATAATCGATAAGTTGCTCCGTTTCCAAGCAATCGATAAAAATCGATATCGATATACTGTTTTTCGGGCAATTTTGGTAAATAATAAGAGCTAGAGTCACCAAACTTGACATATAGCTCTTAAAATAGAATATATATATGCATATGATGTTGGAAGAAGAGGGTTCAGGGTATCCCCTAGTCGGGAGCTCCCGACTAGAACCTCTTACTTGTTGTATATTCAATTAGTGCAAATCATTTGATTGTTTGCTTTTGTAGCTAAAATATTAAGAAATTGGCGTTGTATCTGAACGTTTCTTTCATATTCGGCTCGGATATATATATATATGAGCTGCTTAACGTATAAGTACTTTTATATACATATGTATATACGAGTATGTATAGACAATCGCCCAAATAAATACTATATCATTTTGACAATAGAAGAATCAGATTATGGAACTACTTACATAGCATAGGTGCTATGAAATGAATTGAAAATTGATATTTTGACATTATTTACATTATTGTCGATAGTTTGTGTCCCTTTCGAATGATTTGATTGATTTAAGTGCCACGAATTTTGACACACTCTAATGGCAACCACTTACAATATGAACAAATACGAGTATTTGTAAAAGGCTTACTCAACGAGCACCTCAACTTTATTCGGTTTCCAAAAAGAACTAACAACAAGATGCATATGAAGACGAACCTTGAATATGAATCAAGTCTTTTGCGTACGAACAAATTGTACTTGCTTTACTTTAGAATTGTTAAAGAGACTTACAAAAAAAAACAACAAACAACAACCTAAACAAAAAGACGCACTCTCACAGGCACAGGCTTAACTATACGAGTTGATACTTACCTAAGCTCTATATACACTGAGAAAATCGAAAAGCGAGTACGCAGATGAGAGCATTCGGAACACATTCGGTAGAAACAGAAACTACTTAGCCCGTATTATATAGGCATGCTTCGCTTCATTTGTACACATATCTAGGCAAATTTTCCTCAATACTTCCAATTGAATATGAACATTTGAATACAATTAGAGTGAGAGAGACCTCAAGCACAAATATGCCCTATTGTTTGTTGTCAACACACAGAATCTGAAATGCAAAACTCACTCAAGTTCATGCAACTCGTGCAATCGTTTAATTTAATTCAATGTCAAGCATCGCTTAGGTTCCTCAACAAGATCTTTCGTTCGATTTCTTTTTAAATAAAATCTCTAGCCTAAAGTCCTATTGATGATATCTTAGATATGCATATAGCCATACATATATATATAAGCATACAAACATACTCACGCATATAACGCGACAGTATTTTGAATTATGTTTGTTTATTTTTTTCGGCAGAAGTTAGGGTCTTAAGATACGAGGTCTTGGGATGATATACCCTATAACTACGTTTATTCGTTACAGCAATGCAAAATAGATAAATACTAGAACATTGCAAGCGATGTTGGTGTAAAGCAAATATCTAAACTTAATCTATAAGAAAATCAGACACACACACACACGCAAACACACACACTCTCACACACACACACACCGTGCAGAGTACACGAAAATGAGACAAATGTATATATAGTGTGTTCTTGCTCGTGATGAGCTATCAATTAAGTTAGTTTAGGCTGCCTACAGACAAGTATATTAGCTATAAGGCAACTTCATCTGAGTAAACGATAAACGGTAAACGGTAAACGGAAAAGTTAGTACATATTTATTAGCCGTGTTGCAATTAAGTGCTAAATGACAACAATAAATAAAAAAACTGAAATAAAAATAAACGCATAAAGCCAAAAGAATGTAATTTTAATATACTCACATACACATAATATATGTATATGTATGTAGCATAAGTGCATAAATAATATATAATAGGGATCTGGCAAATGCTAAATATATAGAGGTCATCAGGCCGTTAAACATTACGAACTACACAGAAAACACACGAGTCTCGCTAGTGAAAACAGAAAAAAACAACAAAAAAAAAAAAAACATAATCCTTTAGCTAAGCGTTTGGTTAGAATTGAAGAAATGGATCAAGATTCTATAGTTGAATCCACACACATACACAATAAAACGAGTAATTCATTGAAATAGCCGTTTAAAAGGAAATCAATGTTAAATGTTAAATTTAATGTTAAATTTAACATGCATTGTAAAAGAAATCGCATTAATGTCAAATTTAACATGCAAGATGAATTACATCAAGATGAATTACATCAATGTGAAATTTAAGATTCCTTGTAAAACATACAACATTAATGTTAAATTTAGCATGCATTGCAAGATGAATAACATTAATTTCAAGTCTAACAAGCATTTATGTCATTCAGCTCTTAATGCATGTTCAATTTAACAGTAATTTAATTCCTCTCACAATGCATGTTAAATTTAACATTAATGTTTAAGCTAATGTTTGACATTAATGTAAAAATTACAGGGCATTGTAATATCATAGCTATCATTTTGCATACAATCCTATCCAACAAGCGAGTCATAAATATTTGCATGCACTTCCATCAGGGAATTGGAAACAGAAGCCTAAAAACTCGCTCAATCAAATGTGTAATATTCGAAGGTGTTTTGATTTTTCTTCATTTGCTTGCTTTTGCTTTCAAGAGAAACACAAATTCACAACTCTGAAAATATACTATTGACACTTCACTGGTCTAGGACAATAAATCGACACAACAACAATGCCTCAAGTTGTAGTTATCAATATTTTATATGATTTATTCGATTAATGTGCATTGTGCTCTAAAACCAATTCGCATAACACTCTCCACAATAAACTTGGGCAATACAAGAATTATATAAAGAAAAACAAACAAAAAACCAAATTAATTTAAAAAAGCATATGGTTGTATGATAATAAAAGAATAATATATTATACCCAAGCCATTAAAGAGAAAAATAAAAAAATTAATTTTAAATTGCCAAAGTCAAAAAGCGACGCTAAGCAGAACTCAAAAAAAAAAAAACATGAATAAACAATAACAATACTAAAAACAAAAAGAAAACACGAACAGCAAAAGATAAGAAAATCGAGTACATATACTTACACACAGATACATGCATTAACAAATTAAAACTAATGAAAGCAAAGCAAAAATATGCTCAACAAAAACTTAAAAACAAAAATAAATTAAAATGCCAACAACTACTAAAGGGCAAACATGTTAAATTAGTAAATAAAAACGCAAGAAACGATACAATATGCAATTAAATAAAATGTTTTAAACAATAAAAACCAAAAATGGAAACACAAAAAAATATTAAAGAATGCAGTTCCAAATGGAATTCAAATGCTCGTTTTTCTGGTCTTGACTTATTATAATTGTATATTCTTTTCAACATTTCAGAACAACAATCGCTGCTTTGTACAACAAAACTAGTTTATTTAATGAAAACCTTTTAAGAAATTAAAGATAATGGAGCATCTGTAATTGGCCAACGTATTGCTGTTACGGGTAGTAGGTTTTCTTGAATCGCTCGTCGCGATTCTTGCGACCACCTGGCCGCAGCGCACGCGGCACATACTCCTTGTCGTGTTGATCGAGGGTGCGCTTCCACGGATTAATGTCCCGCTCGAAGAAGCGACGACGCGCCTCCATTGCGCGCGTCCTGTTGTCAATCTTGTACAGCTTCTCCCACATGTAAATCTCAGGCAATTCTAAGTGTCGCGGCCGCTTAGAGGCCAAATGCTTAAATGTACGTTCCAGAAATTCGCGCTGCTCCGGATTTTCGTAATCGGCGGCGCGTCGCAGCGTTGGGCCTCTCACATACGGCATCAGCTCAACTGGAGTGCGCTGAATGCTCGGCGCATTGATATAGAGGCTCAGCAGCTGGCGCAGCGTGCCATCGTTGAAATCCACGCAGTTACCTGCCGGAGAAATTTCAGCGTACAGCGGTTGCGGCGCCGTGCCGCGGCAGAAGTTCACTCGGGCATTGCTATCCACATGTGGACCATGAACCAGCAGCGTGTTCAACTGGTACTCATAGAAGCTCCATTCTCGCCCGTTTGTGATCACAGTCTGGGTGTTTAGCGGGTAAGTGAGCTCGTTGTAGGTATTAAAGCCATTGTAGTTGGCCTGTGCCAGCAACCAGGCGTAGGACGATTGTATGGCCAGCGCATGCAGAGCGTCCAGTTGGTCGCGTTCGCCGCATGCCTGGGGCCGCAACTGTAGATGGGCGCGCGACTGAAACGATAGCATCCCAAAGTTAGGCGCATTGACGCTGGGCCAGTAGCCGGGCACGTTGATGGCATGCTGATATTTGGTGCTGTAGCCCAAGGTGCGTGCATCATACTTATAGCGCGGCAGCTGATTGGCCAACGCCAAGTTCTCACTCTCCTCGGGCGTTTTCCACGTGGGTAGCTGATGGCGGTGCCGTAGCGCTAGATACGGTTCGCCCGTGTACTGGACCAGACGGTCAACGCTGTCGTATGCGTCCGCCTTCTGCCAGTCCCGACCCTTCTTCGATTTGACGACATTCTTGGGCGGATCAACGCCACCGACGGCCCAAAAGGCCTCGTGACGCGGATTGTAGTCAATTTCGACTTCATTCAAGTGCGGGTATTCAGCGCTAAGCACTTGCAGCGCGGATCGATTAATCTGCTCCACAATAATCTGCGTCAGCTGTTGTTCACGTGTGACGGCATCAGGCGGCGTATCCAGCAACGACAGCTGATGCCTGCAATACTCAAGAGGATTAGCTCTGCTTTTAGCAATCCATTGAACTTACTTGTAGCAGTCGTGTGCGAACTCCAAAGCCTCAATAACATCATCGCGCGCCACCTTCACGGTCGCATCCAAATCAACCTTCTCTTCGCTGGGCTCGGCTTGCTTGGGCGGCAGCTCCTCCAGCATAGTGCGCGTGTAATGTTGCGTCAGCGGCAGGGCATTAAATGGCACCTTGGTGTCGTTGAGATCTACCACTTTGTAGCCATAGTAGCGAGGCATATTTATTTTAATCATTTTTTCCTCAACTGTGGGCACTTGGCGTATCTCCTCGTGCCAGTCAGCTGCCGACTGCAGCTTGCGGCCTTTGAACGTGAGATCCCTAATGGCTGGATACTCCGGCTCTGCAGAGTACTCAGATTCAGCCACTGTCACTGCTTTGGGCTCCGCTTTAATGGCCAGATAGCGGCGGCAGGCTGCATTTAGACGCGCACGCAGCTGCTCTCCACGTCGCAGCGTCAACATTTTCGCCGGCCTACAAATTTAATACAAAACTATTTAAGTAAATGAAATTCGGAGAGCAGAGCCAACGAGGTTATGACATCGGACCTGGTAAGAACGATAACGATATGTCAAACATAAATGTATCGACTGTTATCGTTGCACTTTGCCAAACTATCGGTGCGTCAATACGAAACATCGCATGAAATGTGGTCGGTCATGACGCACAAATTGAAACTAGCAGGCGAATTAGTTTTTGCCGCCAGATAATAGTATATATATAAATATTAACTTTTTATTATTTATGCATTTGGAATTTAATTCAATGTTGTATATTGTTTTTAATGTTAATTTGCTTCTTATTACTTAGTACACGATAGTCAGCATATCGATATAAAAAGATATTAATTTTTCTTGCTATCAGTGAACAGCATACTCGCCCTGCATGACGATCAGTTTTGATTTGTGCGAGCACAATATGTGAATTGGTGAAACTAGTTTGGTTGTATATTAATTATTTAGTGTACTTCCCAAATGTATGTAATTCCCGACTATCCTGTCGGTAACAATCCACCACACAAATTTCGCTGACAAACGCTAAGCGAGCCCATATCTTATCTACGAGGAGCCCCTGTCAAAACTAATCAAAGAACTGCAGGCATACATACACAAGTGAATACAAATATATAGATAGAGATATTTTTAACATATTAAAATATTGATAAACAAACTTTATTAGCGACGTCACGCGCTAATGAAAACTAGTAGCTGAAAGTGACACGCACAAAATATGACCAATATGCCCAAATTGTCGGCGGCGCAGGAGCGCACTCGAGAATGGCTGGCCGCGCAGGAGGAGGACGAGTTGGAGTCAATAGCCGAATCGTCGGTGGTGGACAGCTTGGATGATTACAAATACAGCGAACACACCTTCACCGAGCAAGAGGATGAGGATGAGGAGGATGACGATAACGATACTGGCGAAGAAGTCAGCACCGTTGCGTTGGGCACACGAATGGGTGAGTCAAGCACAATCAGCTATATAAATATATATATGTATATATAAATGTATACTTCGACAGGCGCTAGCAAAGGCTCCATCATAATGGACACACTGCGCGATCTTCTCAACTCGATCAACAGCATTCAAACCGTGGGAAATGTAAACATTAGCAATTCCACGAATGTGCACATTGGCAACGTGACCAATATCAATGGCAATATACAGATCATTGCCGATGCCGCAGCAAATGCGCGCAGTAAACGCAAGGCGCGTCGAAAAACATCTCTGGTCGACGTGCCAGAACCAAACGAACAAAAAAACAAGCAACAGAACGCAGAACTGGACGCAGAGCTGGACGAGTCTGAGGAGTGCGTCAATGCCGGTGTCTTTATCAGTAGCCAAAGTAAGTGCACCTGAGCATGCTCTTTGCCCTGGCAGTAACAAATTTGATATGCACAGAATTCAAAATACCCAAGGAGCTGTGTTCCATAGTGCCGCGCCACTCCTGGCTAGCCCAAATGCCCATGGAAGCGCCAGTTAAGCTGCAGCGCCCCGTTAAATATGTGGTTATATGTGAGTACCTAGCCTTAGCCCGTAGGGACTTATGAGCTACCATGTATACTAAGGCTTCCAGTGAAAGCAAGCACCTTGGCAGGGCCACATTCCCAAATCATGTAGGAGCTCAGCATCGCGCTCCCCAGATCTGAGATCTCCTCTAGTGTCTATTCAGTTCACTTTGTCGAGTTGATTTCTTCGGAAACAATGGGGGTACCTATGAGGATGTCATATTATTTAAGATTGAGAGATCTGAAATGGGGGGAAAAGAAACCTTTCGGCTTGTTTATGCCTTACAATGTCGATCTAGATCCTGTTATAGCTCATCTTGTCCGATATCCAGAGTATTCTGTGTCCTTTTAAGCGACGCTAACGCCCGCTCAGTGGAATATTTGATCCTCGCTTTGCTAGGACATCGCCCATTCCGTTTTCTGCATGCCCACACATGGATTTCAATGAATATATACTTAGTGGGAAAATACTCGCTGCACAAGTGAAAGGACAAGCCTAGTTAACTGGTATTATCTGACTACAAGCCAATAAATAGATGGCGATTTATATGCCCCACAGCACACACTGCCACCGAGAGCTCCGAGAAGCGGGCCATCAACGTGCGTTTAATACGCGACATACAGGTGAGCCACGGACTTGATTGCGAATTGCTTCATGACGCTGTGCTAATGTGCAGACCTTCTTCGTTTCGGTCAGTGTTTTCACATCGAGAGTCGCGGCTGGAATGATATTGCCTACAACTTTCTTGTTGGCTGTGACGGCAACGTTTACGAGGGACGCGGCTGGGAGACAGTCGGCGCCCACACCTTGGGCTACAATAAAGTGGCGCTGGGCATTAGTTTCATTGGCTGCTTTATGCGCGAACTGCCCACGCAGGATGCGTTGAATATGTGCCGCAATCTGCTGGCACGCGGCGTGGAGGATGGACACATCGCCCCAGAGTATCGCCTCATTTGTCACTGCCAATGCAACTCGACGGAGAGTCCAGGTCGTCGTCTGTTCGAGGAGATACAGACCTGGCCGCACTTCTACAATATTGCCCAGGATGAGCAAAAGTAGCGTATTACATGACTTCTCGGAACAGGATTTCGATAAATATTTATGTGGTGATTGTCGTGGACAAATTATTATTGTATGCCTTCAAAAGGCTCGTGTCTTGTTTTCGTTACATTTGTCCATAAATCTGTTCTTGCTTAAACAATATACGATTCCAAAGATCTATTTTTCAACATTTCTCCCTAAAAAGCAATGCGTTTTTAATATCAAGTGCACATAAATTAGATTATTCGAGAGCGTTTTTTGTTTTTTTCATTATTTAATTTCTTGTAATTCGTATAATTTAATTATGCAAACAAGTCAACATTTTGCCCTTGCATCTTGATGGCCGCCAGTTGATTAGGTAGCGTCTAGGCAGTTTCCGATTTGCGAGCTGTTCGGGAATACATAAATAATATAGTTAGCACAGCATGACAACATGATGTATCGTACATTAGTTAATAACAAAACGCACAGCTGGCTGAGGATTAAACAATTAAACTGAACGGAACTGGGCAGCACATATGCGAAAGAGACGCTGTTATTTTTGCGTAGTTCTATCGCACAGTCAAAACGCTTTTGAATTGGTTAAAAGCTTGAGCACATTTAAGGGAAACCAGGCAACACTTGATGCAAGTATTAGGCCGGCTAATTAGTGTTCAGGAGCAACAGTTGAAATTTAACATGCCATCGATTGGGGCAGCTCAAAAACTTACACCTTGCTACATAACTGAGTTTCGCAGTTGATGCAATTATGCTTTTTCATCTGTAATACATCGAGAAATGGAATAATGTTTGACTTAATTGTAGACCAGAAAGACTAACGAGGCCATTTTGGCCCACACATGTATATATGTATCGCATTTACATAATGCATATTTGACCAAATCCGTCGATCTTTGCTGGAACTTGTGTATATAAACTGGCCCTCCACCTACGATTGCACAACGATTACTTACGTGCTGGCTTGCCGTTGGCCCAAGGCGTGAACTTCACGTGGCTCTCGTCGCGCTTGGCGGCAGCGGCGCGGAGATCTGTGCGCAGGGATTCGCGCAGCACACGGGCAGCAATGTTGGAATATTGGATGTAGCTGGAAAGGTACAGATATAACAGGGATGCATTCGGTTATGGAGTAGTTGGTGTATGTGTTAGTATAATTGCAGCAAACAACAATTACGTAACGTACGCAGAACGCGTACTAAATAACGCTGATGTGCAATTTTGAAACTTGGTTTGTGCTGTTTGCATGTTTTACTTACGTAAGTCCAGCTGCTCTCCAGGCGTTGGTCATTTTGATAAATCTTTTTCGCAAATTATTCGCACCGAGAACAAAATTTCAGACCTTTGCTAGAGCAGGCGCTTTCGGAGTTGAAGATGAAACTTACGGATATTAATATCCTATCGATATTTTGCATGCAAATTATCGATATTACACACAAGCAGCTCTGCCGATACTTATCGTGTATCGATGCTATTTTGCAATATATTTTCAATCTTAGACGGGTTCGGAATATACCTTTATTCATTTATGCCTGGCAAAAGCATACAATTTGATTGCCGATTGCTGTGTTAATTTGCATAATACATTTAATGCAATGACTTTCAATACTTTATAAAAGGTATCGACCTATCGATGCTTAGCAGCACGAATTGTACTCAGTGCCTGCGCTTTGTTTGTGTTGTGTCTCACTTGCACATGTGTAACAGTTGTTGTTTAACACTAATGTTTAATTGTCAATAAATTGACTGATCAATTTAATTCCTGATTATCATTCTAAATGGACTTTTGGCAGCAAGTTTTCTTGCAACTAGCTTAAGCGTAATGCGTTAACATTTGCACAATGTGTAATCACTTCCATATGTGTATATATCGTGTGGAATATGTGGAAAGCATGTGCCGCTAACTTATCCAAAGGTTAAGGTTTAACTAAGCATATTTAATTATTGCACAACTCTTACATAGCCCAGATGCAGTCCAACACAATGTCTGCCAAGCCACCGATATTAATTATTGAGCCATTCTTCGGCGGCAGCCACAAGCAGCTCATAGATACGTTAATTGAGTGTAAGTAAAAGTATTCAAAGAACTATAACTTTTAAAACTCAATTCGCTGCCAACAGGCTTGAACCTGGCCGACTATGAGATCTTTAGTCTACCTGCCAAGAAGTGGCATTGGCGTGCACGCACCTCTGCTCTGTATTTCTCGCAGCTAATACCGCCGGAGCACGATTACAAAGTGCTGCTAACGAGCTCCGTGCTAAATTTGGCGGAGCTTATTGGGGTCCGGCCCGACCTTGTCAGCTGCCGCAAGATTGTTTACTTTCATGAGAATCAACTGGTGTATCCGGTGCGTGAGGTCAAGGAACGGGACTGCCAGTATGGTTTAAATGAGATTCTTACTTGGTGAGGCTTGAGTTCTTTGTTGTCTTTGTTGATTCCAATTTGTATGTTTTGCCAGTCTCGCCGCGGATATTGTCCTTTTCAATTCCAACTTTAATCGCATGTCCTTTTTGGACAATGTGCAACCCTTTCTGAACATCCAGCCCGACTTTAAACTGAAGCACATACGAGAGCGCATCGAGAAGAAATGTGAAGTGCTGTATTTTCCCATCAAGTTTCATGCCTTTCCCAATAAGCGGCACATCATGGACGCGGAGATCAACACGGAGCTGGACAGCTTGCATTTGATTTGGCCACATCGCTGGGAGCACGACAAAAATCCGAAGCTGCTCGTGGAAGTGCTTATGGAGCTGAACAAGCGTCAGGTTGACTTCAAGGTGACAATTTGCGGTGAGAGCTACCAGGCGGTGCCTGAGGCCTTCGATGGCATACAGGAGAAGCTGGGAGCCAAGCTCATTAACTTTGGCCACCTCACGCGCGAGGAGTATATAAAAACGCTGCTAACTGGCGATATTGTCATCTCGACGGCTGGCCACGAGTTCTATGGTGTGGCCATGTTGGAAGCCACCTATTGCGGCTGTTATCCGATTGCGCCCAACAAGCTTGTATATCCAGAGATTTACCCAAAGGAGAACCTTTACAATACGTCCAATTCGCTGATTAAAATGCTTTACAACTGGTGCCGCAATCCGGAAATCTTCCGCAGGCATCGGGACAAATTCTTTGACTACTTCACCTTTGAACGCTACTCGGCACAGCATTTGGTGCCCAAGTATATGGAAAAGATGCGCATTTCGGTTTAGTGGTGCCTTAAAGACACATCAGTGCGTAATATGATAATTCCAATTGCTGTTTTGTGCAATAAGCATCGAATTTAGTCTGTAAGCCAAGCGAAAGATAACTAGATAACTGACCAATTTACCAGTAACACACACATAATAATAAATAGGTATATATATCTACCTATACACAAATAATTATATAGTTGAAAGCCATAAGTTGATACGACCTGTTCACAATTGCTTAGATGCAGCAGTACTCTCTTTTTAAATCCTATCCTACATGTTTATTTTTTATACAATTGTTAAAATATGAATTGCCAGTTTTTGGCAGCAGGTTAGCTGCGAGTTGTTGTCGTCAAATATGCATTTCGTTATAGATTTAAATTGCGTTTGTTATATGCCTAAGATTGATGCGACTATAAATATGTGTTTGCCTTAAATCCATGTATGATATTATCCTTTTATCGTGTATGTGCATATGTATGACAATTAGTTAAATTGGTTAATTAATATCGGAAACTGTCTTGTATTCCGAAATGGTTTTAGTTGGTTTTATTCGCCAAGCCTATCCCTATCTCTGTCTTAACCATGATTTCTCTGTCTCCCAAGGCGAGAGGTCGTGATTTGAATGAAGACGGGTAGATCAGGGTTTTGTGGCTACTCTCTTCAATATTGACAGTTTCGATACATTTACATTATGTACACAATCTTAAAATTAGCTATTTTCATCCAGGATTACTTTAAAAACGAAATACAAAAACGCTTAAGCATACAAAATGAAAATAAAACGAGCTCAAACTCAACAAGCATGCCTAACCGAGCAGCATTAAAAGTGATTCTCTTTGAATTTGGGCGGCGTCCTGTACTTCTCCTTGATGTGCGCGCGATACTCCTCATCGTCGTGGCACTCGCGATAGCATTGGGCACAGAAGAGCTCCCCATCACAGCCAAGGCAACGGTAAACAGCATCCTCGTTGCATATATTACACCAAGGCAGCTCCTCGTTTTCGCTGCTGTTCGGATTGTTTGTGGTGCCCAGCTCAGCCTCTAGGGGATCGGCTGCTGCCGGCAACTGGGATTCCGCTATGTACTGCAATAAATCGAGTGAGTTTAAAGTATAAACAAATAATTCCGAATTCCAAGGCACCTTCTTCATAATGTCTTGCAGGACAGTTTCATCGTTCTCGTCCTCGTTATCACTGGGCGTATTTGTGGCCGCCGAGCTGGATGCAGCTTCCGCTCCAGCACCGTCGATGGGTGCATCGCGCAGGGCACGCAAACGTCTCTCAATGTCGGAGATGGCATCGTTGCGGTCATCGTCGACACGTTGATCCAGCTGCGTTTCGCCCAGAAACTGGTGCAGCAGATCTTTGATCTTGTCTTGATCAGTTCTTTGGTCGGTGGACAACAGGAGATCCTTTTTGTCATAATTTTTCTGATGCGGCATGCCGCTCAAATTGGAAAGACGCGCACGTATATCGTCGTCAGTCGTTTCGACAGCCTTCAGATTCTGCAAACGTTTGCTAATTGCGCTGTCCAGGTTCTCGTCAATATCCTCGCTGCCTGTGGCCTGAGCTGGAGCCACTGCTGCATTGCCAACCACAGCACTGCTTATGGGCGCCAGCACAGCGGCCAGCTCCTCGGAGGGCAGCACATTGCTGTAGTCGGAGATAAAGGTGTATAAATATACATATGTTAACAGACGCGATGGCTTTAATTGCGTACTCGAAGAGTGCATCAGCTGCCTCGGCATCGGCTGGCGTTGTGTTCTTTGGCGGCAGACGCAGCTTGGTCACCAGCTCTCCGGGCAGCGCTTCGCAGTCAATAACTTTCTCGGCATCGGCGTTGGCCTGCATCTTGGACAGCTTGTCGTAGCAGATGAGGCACACGTTGAGCACCTTGCCGCCATGACGGGGCACAGCAATTGGCCTCTTCAGGCACTTTGCGCAGTACGAATAACCGCAGTTCGGGCAACCGTGCTGCAATAATCTAATTTAAATCTACGCCAAAGTCATGCCGTGCACAGCTAGGCCGCCCTTACCTCCTTGCAGAAGAGTCCATACTTACGGCTGCAGCCGTAGCAGCTCATTTTGTGGGCAGGGCAAAGAACGTTTTCTTGTTAAGAATTTAGAAAAAGTAAACAAAGATTATCTTATTGGACGAAATCAGCGCTCACAAAGCTTTGACTCACAGTATTCTGCTCATGAGTATCGAAATACGCCGATGTGTTATCGATATTTTTCTTGTTTCCCTTTGTTCACCGTCGTCTCTAGACAGGCGCATCAAACGCTTTTGAACCAGTGTACCGATTAAAAATGGACGAATAGGCCGTAAGCTATGCATATATTTAACTAGCAAATGTGTCATAGTTCCCCAGACAACAGTCTCTTCTAAGCACATATATTTAATCTATGCGCCCTTTTAACTCTATATATCTTCTGAAATTCATCGTCTCCTAAGCGGTTCTTATGTCCATGAATATGTTGATACTATTTGTTGTATATTGTTTTATATATGTACAAATTGAACTGTTACCATATGTTCTGTGGAACCTACATACATATATGGTTTACTCGTTTTTCGTTTCCCCAAAATCCCATCGACTCAGTACATGAGAATCGCGTAGAGAGGCGAGTACGTTAGAGATTTAGTCGATTGTTTCTTTTTATTTGTACATACTCATAAAAAAGGAGACCTACGATATATTGCAGAACTGAAGTAACTTTTAGCTGCCGCATACTTGAATTTCTCACATTTTGATCGCCTAATGCGAAGTGAGTTCAGTTTCATAAGCTATATGGATCAAAAATAATATAACATTTCCATGAAGATTTTATATTTTAAAACCTATTTATATTTAAGAGTTTCAGGGAATGTAAATCTTTTTTTCATATTGGCCACGAAACTAATATGTATATTAAGTTTTATATATATGTTATCATAATTATATTTAGTATAAATGCAAAATACAAAATTTCATGCGTGTTTGTATATCATGTTGCGCATATATTGAGCCATATGCAGTATTTTAGACTTTAAACCTAGGAGTATGGGATAAAATATAACTTTCAAGCTGTGTATTATAGGTTAAGGAAACTTGCGTTATTTTTGTTTTTTTGTTTTCTTTTTGGTTTTTTCTTTTTCTTTTGTAAACCACAAAACAAATAGAATTCCCGATTAATACACGAGTAAATACTTTCATTGCTGCAGATAAAGCGGTTAGGTCGGATTTGGGTTTTCTGTTGGGTTGTTTGTGTTATATATATATATATATTTGTTTTTTTGTTATTTCTTTTTTTTTTTTTGCATTTTGAGTGAACTATTCGGATGGAGTGAGATCGCGTTCCAGTTCGTTTTCATTGAGTATTTGCGATAGCAAATCGTGCAATGGCTCGAGAATTTTTTTGGCGCCGGTATTGGTGAGACTCTTATAGTCGAACATATCGTGATGGCTAATGCTGCCGTCTGCCTGCACCAGGCCCTTGTCGATGGCCACAGTTTGCACGCGATCCAAGCCCTTTGTCTGCTCCTTAACCAACTCATTGATCTCGGCATTTTTATCGCGCAGCGCATTCGGTTGCTGGCCGCGTGGTAGTAATGACTGCAAAATATGTACAATAAATATCGATTATATGGATTGAGCTTGAACTGGAGGAGAGGGTTGCTCTCTGGTTTATTTACCGGCAGCAGAATGTACGCGCCGGGCAGTTTTTCGCGTATCTTTGTGACATTGGCGAGCAGACCTTCGGCGACTTCTGCGGCGCTGTTGCTCACATTGTTGGTGCCGACGTGGAGAACAACTATTTTGGGATTGACATTGTCGAGGGCGCCATTCTCGATGCGCCACAGCACATGCTCGGTGCGATCATCCCGTATGCTAAAGTTGAGGCAGTGCAGCGGTGCGAAGTACTGGTTCCAGGTGTCTGTGTCCTGCAGCGTTTCGAATATGCAATCGCCGAGGAATATCACGTCCGGGTCCTTTTCGCGGCAATCGGATATAAATCGGCGATGTATGCTCTGCCAGCGCTTGTCGCCGTCAACATCGGGCACGGCTGTGGGCACAGCGCAGGGATTCATGTTGTTTTTGTTGTTCGTGTGTTTTTATATTCAGCATGCGGTGTACGCTGTTGCAACCTTTTAAACAAAAATACAAATTGCTTAATGGACTAGTTGAACTCGCGGCCGTCGCAGACGTTTTGTAGAGGCACCTTTTCTATGAGTTGCCCAAAGCAGTTTGTATAGCGAACGCAGGTGAAAATAATTATAACCAAGACAATAATTGACAACACAAAATAGCGGCGGCGTTAGTGATGTACAACTGCGCCGACCATCGATTTTAATCATCGCTTTGAACAATCGAGAAAAATTATACGCGATATATCGTTAAATTGGTAATTGCTAGCTATTTTCATTGAATTAAGATTAATGTGTTTGTTTGTTACAACAAATTTAGATATTCACATAAATTTTGTTTTACAATCGTTTACTTCTTATAACAAAATGATTACCTCCTCCAGGGCTCATTTCTCTGTTCTTTCAAGCACAAACATTGCTTAAAACATATAGCAAACTATAGACAATTGTCAAAGTTAGGCATGATTATCGCATTTTTATTAATGCTTACTTCAGTTCAATAGTATTTTTCGTGCTTCTCCCCCATCATCAACAAAGCGAATTTACTTAAATTAACATCGATACCTATTGTGCAAAATCCACCAAAATTTATATCGATATTACAATCGGCCATAGTTTTGCAGCCCTGGCCGCCGCTTGTCACTTTTCCCTGACATCAGACGACACTAGACAGCAATATCGCTACTGGGGAAATTACTGCAGTATTTCAACGAATTTATCGCATGGAAAGCAGCATTTTATAAATAAACAATTATAAAAGCGCAACGCGCGATCCAAGCACCATGGATGTGGACCTCAGTCTGGACGAGATAATTGAGCGCAAGCGCATACACAACCCTCCACGAACCAACGATAAAAAACTGTAAGTGCTCGGGTCAAAAGAAAATGGCGCTGCTCTGCTAACGTTTGCATATTCCGTTCATGCCATAGCCATGCCGTTCAAATGAAGCCTCGAAAGCCGGTTAACAAGCCGGGTTCACACACACGCACCTACGATGCACGCAACAAGATCATTCAGAAGACGCGCGCCAAAATTGTCGATGCACGCGATATACTCAACCAGAACATTCGCGATTCTGGCATCGATGCCCGCAATGTGCTGCTCGAGCGCAAGAAGGAGCGCATGCCGATGCCTCTGCCGCTGCCGCCGCAGGCGGGGCGCGCGCCATCGCGAGCTGGCGGCGGCATCGGTGGTGGCCTGCATAAGGGCCGATTTGGTCAGCGGATAATTACAATGAGCAATCGGCCGGGCGGCGTAATACAAACGCTCTGGGATCCCAAGGAAGAGCGGCCCTCACATGGCGGCTACAAGTCCGGTGGCAGCTCAGGAGCACCGTATCAATCCAGTCGTCTAAATGCAGCCGCCAAGCCATTTATACCACGCGGTTACGTGGACTACGACAATATGCAGGAGTTGGAGGATGGTGAGTTCATCCATTCATGCTCATCCAACTTAATCGGTGAAATGTCTGTTTTGTTCTTGTAGAGGAAATTGCACGCACGCTGCATTTGGGCAACTACAATAGCCAGCCGACAGGCGGGCAGCGACCACGCATGGGTCTCGGCTATGATAGCTATAGCTTGGATATGGACGGCGTGGAGATAACGCCGCAAGGCAGCAATAATTTGGCCGGTGATCCGTTTGCCATTTATGAGGCGGCGCGCAATCGAGTGGAGCGGCCGTCTATGCCGCCACCGCCGCTTGGTGGCGATAAGATATTCGAGCGCCGACAGCGCAATTTGGTGGCAACCTCTAATTTGCCGGATTCGCTGCGTGCCCGTCTCTTTGGCAGCGAGCCAGATCGTCGGGTCTCGCATGGCATCTATGCGAATGAGAATGGCAGCGAGCCGCCGAAGGGGCATATGGCTGCACCAGTTATGCCTTCGATGCCCATGCACCAGCGTCGCAGTCCACCAACCATATCGATGCCGTTGCCATTGAGCGTGGTGAACAACAAGCCCGGCTATCGGTTGCTGGTGAGCAATTTGCACGCGAACGTGACCACGGCGGACATACGGGAGCTGTTCAATGACATTGGACCCATGTATGATGCGCATGTGGTGCGTCCGGGCACTGCGGAGGTTATCTACAAGTCCTTGGAGCATGCCGAGATGGCCGTCGACGCCTATCACCAGCGTGAGTTCGATGGCCAGCCCATGCACTGTGTGCTGGTCAATCCGCACTCATCCAATCGTTCCGCACACTCGATCAGGTTGGTATTCCGTGAACACTACTCCTCTGCTGCTTCCATAATTGACTGCATGCTTCTTCAATTGTTGTAGCTCTCGCACCGTTACCACAAACTCATCTGGCGTGGAGGTGGACATTGATGCGCTGCACTCGGTGCTCTTCCGGGATCGCTAGAAAAATATGCCGTACAGAAGCCACACGAACTTAGGCAATTACTACGTGAACGTTTAACCTAGACACATGCATCAATTATCAATAACGTTATCTATACGTTAATCCAGCATTGGTCATCACCTCGTAACCCTTTTTTTAGATTTAAGCCTATATTGCTGTACATTTTTGTATGCGTTGGCCACACACAAATTGCTCGGCGCCCGCTCAGTAAACCGTTAGTCAAGTTTAAACCAAGTATTTTCAATATCTTCTCATATACCTTTTTTTTTTTTTTTGTTTTAACTAGAATTCTACTTGCAACAGGGGCTGCCTTTAGCTCTCCAGGGCTAATTACCCCAAAGTCATCTTATCCCACGTTTTATATCTTCTTTTGTTAATACTCAAAGCATCTAGGAACCAATAAAGTATATAATTGTAGTAACTGCAACAATGTAATATTTCGATCGTCCAAATTTTCTTCATTCCCAGTTGCATGTCTGGGCCGATCTTTAATTCAAATTTATCAGAGGGCTAAGCATATAATATTTATATGTTCTGAATTAAATTTTCAAATGTCGGACTTTAACTCGTTTTTAAATACCTTTTTCAGCCCTTCTCGGAAAATGGGGTTTTTTTTTGTTTGTTTCTTGTTTAATATTTATTACATATTACATAAAAATGTACAGTAAATATTTTAAGATCGCATAAAATTAATTCATAATAATTAAGTAAAAAAAAGCAGGATTAAGTCAGCAATTGAAGAGGTGCACAAAAAAAATTAAGAAGTAGATTATTGATTCACCGTGAAGAGCGGCTCTTCAATTATCCCGGATGCCAGTGCCGTAGTTGGCGCCGCCGGCACGGTTCAATGCCTCGCGGAACAGCTCAATATCCAGTTCGGCCTGGACGCCCGCCTGCAGCTCCACGGCAAAGTTCTGTCGAAGAAGATGTAGTAGAGAATGAGGTTTCTTCGAGGAGAGCGAAAGGAAGAGAGGGAGACTTGTTGGTAGACTTACGTTGAGCACATCCTTGATGAGCGCCTTGTCCGTTGACATTTTGGCGCGTTGTATGACGCCCACCTCCTGGCCAATCCACGTTAGAAAGATGAACTTCTTGCGCTTGGACATCTCATCGCCCATTTGTATGCGTATGTAGCCGAAGGCGCGCTCCGAGTCCCCGAACTGCTCGCGGAACTGCTCGAAGCACTGGCCACGCCCATGCACAATTATCTGCGCGCCATCGAACTTAAAGACAGCCCACTCGGTATCTGTCAGATCGGAGCGGACATCCTCATAGGCCTCCCGTATGGCGTCCTTGTCCAGCGAAGTCGCCAGCGGCATCTGTGTTCAAATGAAATGTTATGCATAAGTATTTGCATAAGCCTGGGCTCGGGTTTCAATCTAATCGGTGCATTTAGCTGCAGTACGGAAATAGACCCCCCCCCCCCCCCCCCCCCCGTCCCACCACACTGCCCGCCCTCTGCCCAGTTTTGGTAATAATTTTCAAGTTCATTTAATTTGCTCGCTGTTGGGCTTTCTGCGTTCGTGTCGGATTAACGCCTTGTGTTGTAATTTATGTGGCGCATCTGCGCATTCAGGCAACACGTATCCGTCAGATACTTTCGCTTTCGTTTCCGTGCCAAGAGCCAAACCAATAACAATAACAATAACAGCAACAGCAACAATAACGATTATAATAACAATAACAATAGCAATCAAATTATAAATCAATCACGCCAATGCATTTCGCACAAAACTCTTCAATTTGTTCAGCTCGAAATGTTGCATAATTTATATTTAGTGCAATTGCAGTTGCATGAAGATTAAATAACTAAGCGCGAGTACCATAAACCAAATAAGCCATATACGAACATATATTGGTACAATTGGAATTTATCAAAATACGCAGGCTTTTATTTCGAAAGATATTGTGCAAGTAGAGCCTCATCAAACAATATTTATTATTGTTTATAATTAGTTGAGAATTTTAGTTTTTTTTTTTTTTTTAAATGTAGGCAGAAATCGTTTCAATAGATAATATTGTGTTCAATAGTTGATTTAACTTTATAAAAAAGATTATTTGTTTTTCATTGAAAAGAGAAAGATTGGGCAAGCCTTCGTTTTCTTCTTCTCTCCATGTTCTCTATGTAATTCTCTATCTCCCAACTGTATCCGAAATGTTTGTGGCAAAGTTCTCTTTAAGATTTCAACATTTATTATTATGTATAATACATTAGCTTTTTGTTAATACATTAGCTTTATATTTAACAGATCTTCAGGGCTGCAAAGCCTTAAAAAGTGTCAGTGGTTCGGTTCAGGGTTCGAACCAGCTCGCTACCTTGTGTTGCGCTTGCCGAACCTCTTCTCTTCAACTCGAGTATTATATTTTCAAAATATTAATGACTAATTTTACCATTAATATTTACTGAAAATATTGCGATTGATAAATATTTTCACATACAAAATGTGGGCTAAATTTGATATCTGCCCAAAATTGGAAGCTCGTAACTGAGACTAGATATGTCCAATGGCTGGGCCCAAAGTTAGTGTTACTTTGGTACTAGATCTATCTGAGAATTTGCTGTATTTTTAGCGAAATATTTTTGAAAGCAAAAAAAAAATTATTTAGTTCAGTTCAAGGTTCGATGCATACTAAGCAAATGAACCAGAGTTCCGCAGTGGAACTTATTTGGTTCAAAAGCAATTTACAGTTATGATATTTTCGCTGAATTGTGAATCTCAACTTTTGTTCTGAGACAACCAAATGGTTGGGCTTTTAGTGCATTTAAAGCTTTAATATGGCGCATTAAAAAGTAATACATATTTAAAGCAAAAGAACAACAAATAAGCGCTTAACGGTTGCACAAATATAATTGTATTTAATCTAAATTTAATTTAACGCGAGCAATAAACAAATACTCGTATAAACTGCCCGCATATCAACAGAGCCCGTTTTACCACTTATTTTCACATTGTTTAACTAGGCTCATGCTTTAATATGATTATTTGTGGGCAGACTTTCGATCTGTCATGTGGCCTTCGTTGCAAGAGGGAGACCCCACATGCTCTTACTTTCGAGAGAGTTACAGCTACTTTGGAAAGTATCTGAGGGCGGCTGCAGCTGAGCAGCTGATCAAGCGACAATCAAGATTTATGCATTGTTTTGTTGTGCGCGCTCCGTTTGAAACAATTTAAGCGTCACAATTTTCAATCAAAAACAACGATAAATATATTAAAAAAAAAAACGGTTCAAAGACGGCGAGATGCGAGTTGGAAGATTGAAGACGATGTATATGTGTATATATGTATGTATTTCTTTTATTTGGGTTGCCTGGAGAGAGTCAAGACAAAGAGTATAATAATAACATCAAAACTGTCTCCAAATAGAGCAGCGCAGAAAGCAGATGAGAGTCAGAGAGAGAGAGAGAGAGAGAGAGAGAGAGAGAGAGAGAGAGAGAGAGAGAGAGAGAGAGAGAGAGAGAGAGAGAGAGAGAGAGAGAGAGAGCGAGGCGCAGCGGGAAGTAGCTGGATCATAATGCGTTCGTTGACCGAAATCGGTTTTTGTGTCTGCATTAGTGTGTGTGCGTGTGTGTGTGTGGTGTGTGAGAAAAATCAATTAGAAAAGTGCGCTCTGAAGAGCTACAAAAAATATATGGTATCACAAAGAAGCAACAATTAGATAGATTAGAAAGAACAAAATTGTTATTTAAGCGTTGACTTTCACGACGAAAAACCGTCGCGGACAAAACGCTTGATTTGCTTGAATTAATTATGCAAAAACACAAAAAAATTGAAGCCAAATGCTGCAAAGTGTGCCAAAAAAAAAGAAGAAGCACCAAAGTAAAGTAGTAGAATAAATAAATATAACCGTTGCCATAATTTGTGCGCTAAGTCAATTTGCAATAGGAAACAGCTAAGCGCAAGAAGAAGCGACAGAGGCAGTGGCAGCGGCAGAGGCAGCGGCAGAGGCAACGGCAGAGGAAGAAGACAAAATCGGAGAACACACGTTTAGGAGTAAATACAGAGTTATGACCATAACGTCAGCTGCCATAATTTCGAGCGCAAATTAACGGCGCTTTTGCTTCTTCTTGCGTCGGCTGATAAGACATTTCTCTCAAGTAGCTCAGGCAGAGCACAACAACAACAACAACAACAACAACTAGTACAACAAATTGGCGCTTGGGGATGCGACTGTTGACTTGTTCATTGGGCGTGTCTGATAACTAATCAAATATAGCCGCAATTACAATGTTATATGTTGCCTCTTTGTGGGTGCGCCCGAGGGTGCAGGCGGGATGTGGATATGTATGCGGGTGCAGCATTGACGTAAGCGTAATCTCTATATTCTCGGTATTCTCTCTATTCTCAAGATAAGCCGACGCGACAAACACATCGAAATTGATTTATGCCCCACCCCCCCTCCACCCTACACCCTTTCCCCAGCCAACACACAAACACTTGCTTGTATAGTTGCGTACTTGTTCTTCTTCTTCTACTTCTTCTATTTCTAGTTCATGTTTATTGTTCATGGCAATTAGTGTTGGGTAAATTAAGCAATCTGACAAATCAAATAGTTCCAGTTCACTTACCCACCCCACCCCACCCCCCCTCCACGATGCAAGCAGTTGTTATTTTTTCCAATTAGTGAACAAGTGTTCCAGCGAAAGAAAGTAAAAGTTATCGACAATGTTGGGTTACATGATTCGTAACCATATCACTTAAACCGTTATTGATTTCATTGTTATCGCCACACAGATTTGTTGCCAAGTGCATGCCTACTATATACATACATATATAGATACAGATATATACATACATATATTTGTATATACTTGTTTAATCTGACTTCGTGCTAGTCGTTGCGTTATCTTTATCTAATCTAAAGTCCACATCTACTGCATAATGTGGGTCGATCGAGTGTCCGTCAGAGTTTCCATTCTAGAAATTTCACGAGCTTCTTCTTGCAATGCATGTATCTTTAGATGCAAATGTATCTTTAAAGATTGGCGGTGAGTAAAATGTATAGATTTTTCCTTTAAATGAATATACTTGTCTGAAATTGTTGGCATGATTTCGATTGTCTATATCTATATTTATTTTATAGCTATATAATGATATTTCTAAATTTTTCAATTAAATTTACTTCATTATTTTTCTACAATTTGAAAACTTGTCAAAACAAATACAATTTTTACTGCAAGCATTTCAAGTGTTCTATTTGCAATCCAGACACAAATTCCTACTTTGATAATAAATTAAAATGGAATGCGATAATAAATATATATTATACACATATAATATATATGTGTATCAATATCTACAGATACCGATATCAGTAACAGTGTCTGTATCAGCGAATCGCTGTGGCCTTTATTTTAAACGTGGCAGCAAAAAAACACACAAAAAACAAAAATAAAAAATACAAAAAATTGTCAATGATAGCAAAAATCAAAAGGCGGCATGAAATGTGCTGTTACAAGTGCACAATATATACATATATAGATTATGCGCATATATTTCCTTTTCAACACTGGAATCGTTTCATGTTGAATAACGCTTTTAGATAGGCGTCGCTCGCATAAAATTCCGCAAAGAAAAGTGCGTTTGCGGCATGTGTGTGCGTGTGTGTGTGTAAGGAATTAAAAAAATCAAAGAACCTAAAAAAACTTTAGCCGGCTAAGAAAATCATGCGTCAAGTGCGGCACACATATTTCAGGCAATTGCCTGAGTCACAGTCACAGTCACAGCTAAGGCAAAGGCTAGACAGTTGGCTTAGCAGGCAGACTCTTATACCCTGTACACAGGAGCTGCTCAAAGAGGGGTATGCTGAAACAGTTATGCGTTATATACATACATATATATTCATGATACATTTTGGTATCGAAGATGACTTCTAAAATGTATTACATACAAAGATTTCAATTATTTTATACCCTGTACACAGGCGCTGCTCAAAGCGGGGTATGCTAAATATACCAATATTATTATTCGATCTGAAAGATTGAACTAACATGCGCATGAACTCGATGCGCGGATGTCCCCCCATTCGCCCGCTAAGCAACTTCAGATTAAATTTAACTTCCAGTTAGCAGCCTGATTTAACGCAAGCTTTTCAAAAGAAACCAGCCAGGGTATTATGTGGGCATTTGTAAGTGTGACTTTCACCAAAAATAAGCTTCATACCAACTATTTCTTACGGACAATTCAAGCTCGTTTATGTAATTATAAGAAATACTTATTTGAAATGCTTTGGGGTTATTTAAACTTGTTCATAACCGAAAATTGTAGCAAGTTTTTAAAATATTTGCTTTGTCATCGAGTTCAAAGCCAGTTTGGTTTCAGGAAACATGTGAATGCTGGAAAATGTTAGGAATGTCTGTAGCACAAACACTCTTGAACATTGATTAGCCAGTGAAAACGATTCGATCGGATTACAAAACATGCGTTTTCATATCGTTCTGTTTCATTTCGATGGGAACAAGTGGTTATTGTTCGCGTTCGCACTGGTTCTGGCAGTTGTGGCTTTTGCTGCTGGTTCGAGGAGTGTCAACATCTGTTTTAGTTCGTGCCGTCGAAAGCGTTTTCCAAATGTTTTAAATACTCAACAGTGCAACTGACGCATGAATCAGCGGCTGGTTCGTTTGCTCCAAGGCAGGCGGAAGGAAGTGTGGGCCAAGTGTGGGGCGCGGCGAGGGGCTATAGGATGCAATGCTGTTCTTTCTTCTTTCTTTTTTTATAGTCGCGCATTCGTTGTTTCAGATGTTGTTGTGGCTTTTCTCGCAGTATGTATTAATAATTCTTTGTTGTTTTTTTGTTTTAGCTTATTTTCGCAGTGGAACAAAGAAACTTGAGCTGCTTGTTGATTTGTGTGTGTGTGTGTGTGTGTGTGACTCATTTGCGAACGACAAATGAATGAAACAAAAAAAACATATACATATACATAAATCGCAAACCAAAATTGGCGCGTCAGGAAGCGCAGCCAACTTAACAAGCCCAAAAGCTTGTGCATTGCAATGGCTTAAGAAGAGGAGAGGGATAATGTGTGCGTGTGCGTGTGTGTGTGTGTGAGTGCGTGTGCTTGCTTGTGCATGTGTGTGCGTGGCAAACCAATGCATAACAATACACTGCAATCATGATTTGTTGTACATATATATTTTTATTCACCCCCCCCCCCCCCCCCCTCCTCCTCTCAACCGCCTACATATATTCTAACGGTTGGTTTTGGTTTTGGGGGACGTTGCGCATACGACGCGTAGTGCGTAGAGCACTCCGATATTCAATATTATTTATTGCCAGTGGCATTGATGGCATTGCTTCGAGGTGTTGTGGCATCCGCTTGAACGCATTTCGTTTCAGTTTTCATGGCTTTTGTGCGCGTGTTGTTTGACTTATTGATTGAGTTATAACCGTAAATGGTTCGGCTCCGTTCCGACAGATTAGGCGGGGGCATATACATATTTACTTTTCATATACACACACATTATATCTGAAGTTGTCAGGTAAATGCAGTCGTTCGCATTGAACGCTCTCATCGACACACGACTACACGGGGTAAAATGTCCAATTATCGTAGGTCAAATCTATTGTGAATCAAGTCGCAAATCTGTCAAGTGAAAAACCGTTTTGTTACAAGTGATCAGGCTAACTGAAATCAAGCTTATTTCAATTAAAGCAAGAAATAACATTTTTATATAGGGATGCAGATACATTTTAGATTTGTCTATATACGTATACATATATACTTTCTTGAGATCCGAGCTGACTTCTATGCATATATTTAAGGAATACAAGGGCGTAAAGTGCAGCACTTAAGAGAAACTTGAAATGAACCCTTGTCCTAAGCATGAACTTCTTGATTTTCATTGCAGTGTACCAACTGAACAAACGAACAGCACGCTCTCTCTCTCTCTCTCTCTCCCTCTCTCTTCCTCTGATTAAATTTTGAGTCATGTCGCTTCGATAGCTGCTTAATATAGTAGGTAATTGAACTGCAGCTGGCTGGCGTGTGCGAGTGTGTGTGTGTGTATGTGTGAGTCACAGTGAATCAATCGAAGTGAATCAAACCAAATGAGTCACTCACACACTGCCAATGGCCCATATCACAGTAGTCAGTATCAGTGGGACAATCGCAATACTGTTACAGTAGCTACAATTTGTCTTTGCCATTGGCGGAGATATGAAATACAATGTGTAAGTAGTTGCCTCAACGAAACCGCAACAATTACTCGATACATGCAACAATGCTCGATAAGATACAGATACAGCGACTAGAGTATCTTTTGCTATGCATGTATGTGTGCGTATGCTTGTGTGTGCGTGAACATATTTTTAACTGCTGTGCGCACAAGTGCGGCGGCGTCGCCGTTGCGCACTTGAACTTGATATGCACAGTTGTTGTTGTTGTTGTTGCTGTCGCTGTTGTCTATGACCATGCCCACACGTACGCCTGCTTATCTACCCCTTGGCTGCTGCGCTGCGCGCTGCATCCGCCCCCGCACTTAAAAGCCTAAGCAAAACATTGTTGTTGTTTTTTATTTTATATTCTCTTGTGCTTCTCTCTCTCTTCGTTGTCTGGCACCGGCGTCGGCACCGGCACCGGCTTTGCCTTTGCTGCTACGGCTGGGGGTACTGGCCCAGGCCCTGGCCGGTTCTTGTGGAGTCACAGTTATTTAAAGTTCAACACTTCGCGCACACAGACACACACACACACACACACACACACACACACACACGCACACACTAACACATACGCACAGTTGACTTTGGGCTTGGACTCCAACTATAGCGAGGCTGCTTCGCCACGCTTTGCCTCTTCCTTTTTTGTCTGCTCTCCCGCTCTCTCGCTCTTTCTCTCTCGCGCGCTATCTGTTTCTGCAGATTTTATTTTGCGCTTTGCGCCTCTGCTGCTGCTGCTGCTGCTGCTGGTGCTGCTTTTGCTGTTGCTGTTGCTGTTTGACTGCCCCGTTGTCGCATCTCCTAAGAGTCTAATTCTTTTTGTTTCGTCTTTTGCCGCACTTAATATTTTCTTAATACATATACAAGATGCACTCTTGCCTGTATGTGTGCATGTGTTAAAGTATCTCTCACCCTTCTCGGTTTGCTCTCCACAATTTGTTCAACTTCAATGCCGTCTGACATGTTGCTGGCTGAATGGGATGCTGCGGCTACTTCTGGGTCGCTTCTGCTTCGCTTTGCTTTGCTCTGCTTTGCTGTGGCGGCTGTTGCTGCAACTCAACTGACAGTGAATTTCTGCCGGCTTGGCTTTTTTATTGCAACTTTGCAACACAAATTCAATAATTTGGACACAACGCGCGATGCTCGTAAATGTTCAGCGACAAGTGTCACGATAAACAACAACAAAAATTAATAAAAAAAATGGATATAAAAAACGAAAACAAAGACAAAGGCAAAAAGGCACAGGCTTTAATCGGGAGTGACCAAAAAAAATTGCCGACCGACTCCGTCCGACTCGCACGAATAGTTGCTCACGAATGCGGGCCGGCAGCGCGTGCAACTCCAACGAAGTGGCTGACGCAGAAGCAGCGCCAACCAGCACAAAGCATAACGACGAAAACGAAGCGGGCAGCGCAGCTCGCGAGCGAGCAAGTGGGAGCACCCAGGAGCACCAATGCTGCAGCGAGAAAGAGATAGAGTTAGCAACGGCGACGGCGCCGCCACCGCATTTGGTTTTATTTTCAGTTTCAGTTTCAGAGTTGAAAGTGCGCGGGCAGCGACGTTGACTGCGCCGTTGACAAAATGTTTGACACCGACGAGCGCGCGCGTGCTAATGTGTGTGTGTGTGTGCCTATGTGTATATATATTTCTGTGTGTGCGTATGTATATATGGAGGCATGATTTAGGATGCAGCAGCACTGTGCAACAACATTTTTAAAACATATACATATATATAACAAATTGCTAAAGTTCTCAAAATGTGGATGCAGAGAAAAGTTAAAGTTGCTTATCCTTGAAAAAGAATCAGGCAAACACATAGTTGAGATACAAAAATACTTTAAAAGATTTATGTACATATGTATGTGTTTATGTATGTGTGCTTTTATGGGGAAACCAAATGAACAATAGACGAATGTGCATCATATGTCCATTTCTGGCAAAGAGGAAACATTTTAATTATGAACAAATATCGAATACAATTTTAGCAGAAAAACAAACGAATTTCAAGACTATCGAATTTTGTAACTTACTTTTGTTTGTTTCCTTTGAACTATAAATGTATGAAAAGCATTAATTTTTTGAAAGTATAATACATATTCTTAACTATCTTCGGTTAACAGAAGCTGTGATTAAGTTATTTAAGAGTTAGAGTTCAATGTTATCTTAATATCTAATATGTATCTATGGAGATACTTCCATAATTTTTTTTCTATAATAAGGACAAGTTAACTGGCATGAAGTTAATCTTCGAAAGTAAATATATAAATATAATTTATAATAACAGGATATAGCATAAATCTTAAAACAAACTACAAAATTCCTAAATAAAATTAAAATAATTTTTAGGTAGTTTTCTATAAACATACATAAGGACTTAGTAGCTATAGAAAGGGGGGAAGTATGATTGAAAATTATAAAAAACCATCTGGTTTTATTATTGCTGTTGCATTCTGTTTTTCCCAATTAAAATAATAATAATATTAATTTTAGGTGAATTTCAACTAAGATAAAATGTTTGTTGTAAAACAATTCAAATATGTTTTTAGCGATTTCGCAGAGAGTTACTTTATTGGCATTATGTATATAAAAAGCTTGTTTGGTATAAACCGACATTTCTGGAATTATATGCATAGCATTTAAATAAGTAAATAACTGCTTATCTTTCAATTGTAGTACTCTGACAATTTGACAATAACCAGATTCATGTTCCTTTGCGCGCTTATTCCTTGCGAATTGAGTTAGGCTTTTGTGTTGCACACTGTCGCTGGCCGGCGGCAGCCTGTTCCCAATCAACCGGTCGGCCAATGGCAAGTTCAGGTGTAGGTTTAACGGAATCTTCGGCAAGCAATCAGTGCCGCATCAGCCTTGCTACAGCCTTGACGGGACCAGCCTAGACCGAGACCGAGACTGAGACTGAGACTAAGACTGTGGCAAGAACTGAGCCCGGGCACGTTGTAATCAAGTGCGCACGTACTAGTCGGCAATGCCAGATATGTGTGTGTGTGTATCTGTATCTGTCAGTGTGTGTGTGTGTGTGCATTGCAATTCGGGTCGGAACGGGACGGCATTGAGGCTTATCCGGTGCAGGCAGGGCTTATCGTCTTCAGTGTCATCCACGTCGCTTTATCAGGCGGCAAACAGCAGAATGTGAATCAAGCAATCAGTTTGCTGAATTACCCATTTCGGGAGAGAAGGAACATATATGAAATACAAATGAAGATTTAACAAAAATCGAATACAAATTCGAGCGGAAAAACAAACCAAACGCAGCTTTGTATCTGACCTTCCTTCAAGGAAAAACTATTCACCTTCTATATATTGTGGAATGTATCGAAAAGACATTTTACATTCCAAAATTCAGATAGAAATTCACACACTTCAATGGCCATCTTTGCTCAAGGTTTTAAAAAGCATAAAGATAATAGATAATAGAGAATAGATAATAGATATTAGATAATAAATAATAGATAATAGATAATAGATAATAGATAATAGATAATATATAATAGATAATAGATAATAGATAATAGTTAATAGATAATAGATAACAGATAACAGATAATAGATAATAGATAATAGATAACATATAACAGATAAAAGATAATAGATAACAGATAACAGATAACAGATAATAGATAACAGATAATAGATAATAGATAATAGATAATAGATAATAGCTAATAGATAATAGATAATAGATAATAGATAATAGATAATAGATAATAGATAATAGATAATAGATAATAGATAATAGATAATAGATAATAGATAATAGATAATAGATAATAGATAATAGATAATAGATAATAGATAATAGATAATAGATAATAGATAATAGATAATAGATAATAGATAATAGATAATAGATAATAGATAATAGATACGACATTAATTGTTTTTTTTTAGACTATTAAAACTCCAAATCGAATAGCAAAGCAGTTTTCACTGTTATCAGACCAGAATCATGGAGATAATGCACAGCGAATTCGTAGTTAAGCAGTGTAAATAATAAGTTGGCATAGCAATTGCGAAAATAAACAGAAGTGCTCCAGTCGGCAGTGCCCGACTGCGCGATACCCTAGGCCTTGCTTTTATGCATTTAAGCACGCATACACACACACACACACACATACTGTGGCGGTGCTTCTTCTTGCCTTAGCTCTACACAGTGAAAAACTTATCTCTAAACAGAATCGGTGCTTATTATCCGATCTATTCAGGGCATATATAAAAACATATTAACACGTAACAAAGCCAAACTTACAAAAATGAAATTTAATTATATTATTTTTATTATTATGATTATTTTGTTATAATTATGAATATTATTATTATAACCATTGCGATCATATGTAATATATGCGTTCTGATAGGAAACTTTGAAAATAAAACTCATATATAAAAAAGTATAAATATATATATAAGTACACTAGCGGGTATAGCCCGGCCTTGCCCATGGCACGTAAAAAATAAATTTTCTCAAAAAGCTTTTTAAATGTTTTTGTCGGTAAACAAACGTTTTCCGCCAATTTACCACTCTCGCAAGTGGAATTTCCCAAATCGCTGAAGCAGGTATTCCTGAAGTTCCTATGTAGAGAAATATGTTTGAGGCAAATCGGATAAAACTTAAGACTTCACCAAAAAATCACCAAAAAATCTTTCCTTGGAAATGAATTTTGGGGCGAAACGTCACCCACCAAATTTTTGACCCCCATTTCCAACAAGGAGGAATGGATTTTTCGAAAAGTGTGAAATACCCCTCAAATGAATTTGAACGAAAATCTTTTCATACAAACATTTTTCGCTAATTACCCAATGTTGTGGGTGGAATTTCCCGAAACCCCGTCTTAACGTGCACTTTAATCAAATGAGGTAACTACAGTGAAAATTTCAGCTTCCTAGCTCTTACGGTATCGGCTGTGCGTTCATCACCAATCAGTCAGTCAGTCAGTCAGTCAGTCAGTCAGGACAAACAGTTTTATATCTAGAGATTATATTATATAATTTTTATAATTTCCCATTAAATCTCATCCACAACTTGTGCTTGCAAAGGGGAAACAAAAACAGGAACACCAGCTGCTGAGCTATTACATAAATAATAATTTAAGCAGAAGCAGTTCAATTGCAAACGTCTGAAAAAGTAAGCAAAAGAAAATCGAAAAAATGTCCATCATCGTGTCCACCAAGGCGCTGAGAAAAATGAAATCAATATGGCAAATAAGAATATGCAATAAGACGTTCTATACGTACGACTTTTCTTAAGTGCACTTCGTTCAATGAAGAGTTAAAAAATGAAATGAAATATTAAGCTTAAAAAACTATGTTTGTTCTTGCGGAACAGGTCTTCAATCAATGTTTACATAAGTCTTTGAAAACGATTTTAAAGCTGTTCGGATGAAAATCGAAAAAAAAATGAATGCATTTAACAGTTTTTCCAGCTGTATTTTTTCCTTGCGGATGGATTTTCCAGAATTGCTGAGAATTTTATGATTTGGGCTGCGGATTTATTACCAATCAGCCAGTCGGTCATTAAGTCAGGCATACAGTGAAACAGTCATTCAGTCAGTCAATCAGTCAGTCAGTTAGTCAGTCTATCAACCAGTCATACAGTTATATACTCATATAGTCAGTCAATCCGTTAATCGGTAACTCAGTCAGCCAGTCAATGAGTTAGTCAGACAGTCAATCAAACATTCATTCAAGTCAGTCAGTCAAAATGTACGTCAGTCGGTAAGTCAATCAGTCAGGTAGTCAATCATTCATACAGTTATACAGTCAGTCAGTCCGTAAAGACAGTTAGTAGCGCATTCTTACAGATATACAGGCATTCGGTCAGTCTATCAATAAGTCAATTTTTCATACAGTTTTACAGTCTGTAAGTCAGTCAGTCAGTGAGTCAATCAGTCATGCATTTATACATTTATTTACTTAGTCTATCCGTCAGTTAGCCAGTCAGTAATTTATTCTTATGGTTATACCATCAGTCCAACCATTTCAGTCAATTAATCAATTATTTATACAGTGAGTAAGTTAGTCAGTCCGTCAATCAGTTTATCCGTCAGTCAATCAGCTATACAGTCAGTAAGTCCGTCAATCAGTCCATCAGTCAGTTAGTCTGTGATTTAATCATTAAGTTAGGCAGTCCGTCAGTTGTTCAATCAGTCAGACTGTTCGTCACTCAGTAAGTCATCCTTTAAGGCAGTCAGTCATTAAGTCGGTCAATCAGTCCGTCAGTCAGCCAGCCAGTAAGTCATTCATTCAGTAATTTGGTCTTGTCGCCTGTTCGTCAGTCTGTTAGTTGGCTATTTAGTCTGTCATACAGTTATACATTGAGTCAGTCAGTCCTTCAGTCAGTCAGTCATAAAAGTTTACAGTTAGTCAAACTGTCATTCAGTCCGTCAGTCAAAAGTTACTTGAAATCTGTATTAAAGGCTCTTTCTTAGACCGAGTATACTCATATGTTCGTTGAAATATAGTATTAACGAAGACCCACGCAATTTGTATGCCTACAGTTGGGCGCAACATGTTGCAAAGCGGCATGTTGCGCTGCCGCTTGTTGCTGCCGCATGTGGTGAGTTTGGCGCAAACGAAACGCAGGCGCCGGCACACTGGCCCCTTTGGGTCGGCCAGTTGCCAACGACTCGTTCAACGTAACGGTAAGCAGGCAGAGCGAAGCGCGCCAGCAAACGACGACGTTGGCGCCTGACGTCGGCGTCGTGGGCGTCGTTGTCGTCGTATACATCCCCGAGACGCTAGCCGTGACCATAAACGTTGCCACAGAACGTTATCGCAAGGACACCCTGACAGCAGAGTGCGCGCGCGCGACTCTACGCAAAATTTTTGTAGTTTTTTGTTCAGTGTTGTTAAACGGAGGCAGAAGTGAAGCCACAGACGGAACTAGAACCTGTTCAATATCGTTAATATTGAATATTTATCAGTGCTGTCTAACAGAGGTTCAACTTCTGAACAACAAACGGAACCAGAACTATTCCAATATAGTTCTAATTGTTCAGTGTTGTCTAAAAGACGTATAACTGAAATAATACGAACCAGTTCAATATCGATTTTATTGTTGGCACTGCAGACTGATCGTCTGATCCGGAACTACCAAATGTACAGTTCCAGTGCTCAAGATGCCGCCAGTGCGGCGGCCACCTACAAGGCGCTGCTCGACTATTACGCCAACGCACGCAGCGCTGCCAGTCACATTGTCTCGCTCACGCTGGCACCGCTCAACGAGTCGCTGTCCATGGGCTTGGCCGAGGCCGGTAATGGGAATGCCAGCGGCAATGCGAATAGCAGCGCCAGCTATGAGGATGATGCACTTTCCGCCGGAAATATATTTTTGATCACCGAGAGCGTGGCCACCGAATCGAGCCGCGGCGCTGCAGCTGCAAATGGAGCTGCCGTTGGCAGCGGCCGCAGTAGCAGCAGCAGTGCTCCCACTGAGATGCCAGCTTGGCTCATACCCAGCTATAGCCTGATCCTGCTGTGCGCTGTGGTTGGCAATCTTTTGGTCATTTCAACGCTGATGCAGAACCGTCGCATGCGCACAATTACCAATCTCTTTCTGCTCAACTTGGCCATTTCGGACATGTTGCTGGGCGTGCTCTGCATGCCCGTTACCCTTGTTGGGACTCTATTGCGCAATTTCATCTTTGGCGAGTTTCTCTGCAAGCTCATACAGTTCGCACAGGGTAAGTCTTGAGCGCCGTCCTAATTATTCCAATTCCCTGATTATATCTTCAACAATGACTACCTTATGCGCTGTCAGGCGTGTGGGTGGGGGGCGGCCGGAATGGGGGCATGGCCGTGTGGGACTGTGCGTGAGCAAAAGTGTATCGCATCAGCTCTAAGGAAGGCTAACCAAGTTGAAGTCCGCTGAGAATATCTCATATGCGTGCCAGATTTTTAAAATGCGTGCCTCAACCAGTGTTAAGTAGTGACTATAGTGTTGTATTGACTTGAGTGTTGTCAAATTAAGATCAGGCAAATTGGCGCTTCTTAGCTTTCAAAATACTGTACATAGTAGGATAGTGATGTCACATTATCAATGGCTTGCGTTGACAGAAGTACACACGGTCCCTCTGGCAGCAGGTTCTATGTTAGTTAAAGTTTATGTTAAGAGTCAGTCTGTGACTAGCGTTGAACAAATAATAAACTGTGAAACTACAGAAAGCATAGACAGATATACATATCATTTTCAGTAATAAACTTTGTCATTCTCTCAAAATATTTGAACATATGTATGTATATGTTTTACAGAAATAATCAACCCGAGTGCTTAAAAGCCAACAAGGTTAATATAGGCACCCACTATTTTCCTTTTTAATTTACTTGTCATTCAATTTATTTTATATTATATTATGGGCATTTAAAAGGGCATTTTACAGTCGTACATTCTTCAATATCTCACTCACTTATTTTGCTGGCAGCTGCCTTTTGCGAAAGATGGTAAGCTATGCACAAAAAAGAAGAAATTCGTTCAATTTTATAAATTTGTGGCAGTGTTGTAAAATGCTATCCAGCTGTCAGTGCCAACATTTGAAGGGCAGCTGCCAAATTTATCGCACAAAGTACTTTTGCATATAATATTTTGATAGTTGCACACAAAGATACGTCCAAACCAAATTGAATATATTCCCTACGCGCCCTAAGCAAATGTCCTGCCGTCACTCCAAGTAACGCTTGTGGCATGCGGCGATGGGTGTGGAGCAATAAAACGCATTTTTTTTTTTCAAGCTGAAGTCCTCATCATTTATTAATGGCCAGCAGCTCAGTATGTATATATGTACATATGCATATGTTGAGGAAGGAGCTTTCATTATAAGAAATTTGGCCCTGAAAACATATATTCAATAAGCAGTTATCAAAGTAAGCTGCAGTCGGGTGCAGTCGACTGCGCAATACTCTGTTTACAGCGTGCATTTGACTTGAGACTTTGGGACTTGAGCGGGGCTGTTATGTTTCATTGACCAGGATAATACTTACAAAGCCTGAAGACATACATATATTCTTGTGTGTGTAGAAAACCTCTTGGACGGACAGCGAAGGTTGGGAAAACTTTTGTCCGTTCAGAGAAATATACGCACAAGAGAGGGACAATACACAGAAAATGTCAGTCTAATAGAAGTGTAAGTGGGAGGAGTTCTCACTGACAAACCAATATACCCTCTTTTAGGCAGAGTATAAAAATCGCATAAATTAAACTGTCAACAGTTTTGGATCCGCATACAAAATGAGCAAAGTTTTATATACAGTACGCAAAAAAAGTACGTTAACCAACAGAAAGTTTTAAGAGATACGTTCATATCAAATATATAATTAACATACAATCGTTACACTAAAAGTTGCAACACTTCCGTCAATTACATCCATTTAGCGCTGAAATAGTTGAACAAAATAAAACTTTTCAGACTGTGGCTGTGAAGAGAGAAATAAAAAGGTTAATTCAAAAAGGGAAATTAAAAATTAAATTATTAAATTGTTCAATCATGCCAGCGCACAATTACACACATGAGTGCTAAAAAGCAAGCTTAACAAAAGGGCTCAACTCTCTGGAGAGTAAATAAACACGTTAATCAATAGGGGGGAAGAAATATGCACAAAATTTTGACAAAGGTTTTTAAAGGACCAAGTTGCCAGGGATACGGCAGGTAAACATGCAATAATAAAAAATAAATAATAGCAAAAAATTACACACGTATGCGTACCTTATGATCCGACAAGTGCTCGAGTTTTGACAGGCTCTCGTGGAATCACAAGATTAAAATGTGTTTACAGAAGAAATTTATTCAATCATTTGTATTGATTATTTATTTTTGGATTATGCCAAGTGCGGCGAGTCAAAAAAAAAATAAAAAAATAAAATAAAATAAAATAAATTAAAAAGAAAAAGAGAAAGTAGAAGAAAGCTAGGTAACGACTGTTTATGTTAAACAGGACTTAGCAATGTTTTCGTTTTAAATTGCGTTTTAATTTATTTAATATCTTGCTTTGACATCAAATTCACAAAGCTGTTGTAACTTGAGGCTCAGTTAGAGCTGGCACCCGGTGTGTGTGTGCGTGTGTGTGTGTGTGTTTCCCTAGATAAACTAAGTAGTATAAGCAAACATCCCATAAGCTGACACTAGACTAAATGGATCATTTTACTTGACTGGCGGGGCACGTCATTTTATAATTATAGCCCTCCGTTGTCCATGTTGCCCGGGCGGAGTTGGTGTCCTGATCTGGAGGCGAGTTGCCGCTGGCAGCTATTTGTCACATTTGCGAGTCCTATTCAAATTACACAAAATTAAATAACAATTTCTATACACAGACAGAAATAACAAGGCTACACAGTTTGTTAGCGCATCTGTTCGCATTTATTTGGCATTTCTGCGCTTTTCATTTTCTAATGCTCGGCATTTAAATTGCACGCAAAAATGTGCTAAGAATTTTGCGGATTCCCTTTCGGTTTCCATACTCTAGAAATGTCGCGAGTGTGTGGAATAGACGGAACTTAAATGTCGTTCGCAATACCCAAACACCTTATCTAAAATATATGTTTCCTCCTCATGTATTCCCACACATTTATAATCCCATCCAAACCAATCTCATCTAATATAATTATATGAGCTTCTTTCTCTCTGGTTCTAAACACAGGGCATATCTCGCCTGGACTATGCCTAATGGAGCATATTTTTTTCACTTCCGTTTTCATTTGGTTTTTTTTTGTTTTTTTGACTCTCTCGCGTTGGCAGCTGGCCGCCCCAGCCCACCCACTCGATTCGCGATTTTACTTCTTATTTCCGATGCTCTTTTGTCATGCAAATGACATGCAAAGTGGAGGCGAGGGCGGCACCCGAATAACATGTAGCACAATCATATTGGAAGAAACGAAAGCGAAAACAAAAACAAAGACTCAAACAATGATAAATTGAAAACACGAAGGAAAGACTGGTAGCGTTAAGCCGACGATAAAATACACTTTCAAATGCAATTGACTCAAGAACTTTAATTTCCAACGATTGCTCCTGAATAATATGCCCATCCGATGTTGATAACCTGCACTCAGCTCGCTTGCTGAGTTGGGTTAAAATATGTGAAAGAGAACAAAGCTTTTTCAACTCATGATACCTCTTGAGCTATATGATATGCTAGTTTAAACTCGTTAAGATTTTGCTCTGATAAAAGAAGTTTGGCTAAATTGAGAAATGCCAAGTTCGATACATAGTTCCAGATAGTTATACCCAGTTTTGGTGGTTCGTTCCGGCTGACTCCGATAAATGAACCATTGGCAACGTTTCGTGACGATAGTTACGAGTTTAAAATAGTCGACTAGTTGGCATTCTGACTCGGCTGTTAATGCTGCTCGAGAATGTATGCCTTAATGGAACGGATGACGTCTTCATATATATATGCGTTACACATTTCGTGACAGAATTTGAATACCCTAAAGAACATTAAAAAATAAGACGCTTTGCGTTGGCAGATATGGCCAGTGCCCCGTGCCCCTTGCCTTGTTGCACGTCTTCTCAATACGAAGATCCTGTACACTTGCCCTGCTTCCTGTACAAATGCGTGCTGTATTCTGTATTCCGCTTGCAGGACGCCATAATTTGGCCCAAGATTAAATGTGGACGCGTATTTTTTGCATTATTACTTGACGTGCGGCCTTCTCAGAATTGTAATCATTTTCGCTGCCACTTGCCACTCATTAACGTGTTGGGCATATAATGCCAATTATTTCTTATATATAAGAGACCTCGAGTCAGCTAAATGAAGTTTGAAAAAATGCAAAGATCGCCAAGACCAGCATTATATATTATATATATATTTAGCACCTTCTCATATGTCTGTCTTTTTGCTAAGCAAGATATATGAGATATCCAATTGATAGATATTCTTCATGCTAAATGAAGACTTAAACGTATTTATTTAACATTATTTTATCTCTTTAACTTAAGTTTCTTTTCAAATAGTTCTTCATTTCCATAGCATACTTTTTTGGTATATATTTAGTTAGCTGGCTCGAGGTCCGAGGTCTAGAACATAGTCTTATTTAATAAATGTTCGTTAGTTTGACTTTTAGATTTAAAAGTGTCTTCTCTTTTTCATCGAGGGTAACTGTCAGTCGTGTATGCCCGACTGGCCGCAGGCCCATTGTTCTGCGTGTTGTTTTTGTTTTTATTTTTCTTTTTTGCTATGGGCTTACATAAGTTTCTAAATAAAATTTGCCGTCGGCCTTGGGTGGCCCCAGCAGCCGCGAATTGTGTGTCTGTGTGTGTGTGTGTGTGTGTGTGTGTGTAAGTGTATGCCTGCTAATGCGCCTACAACATAATCATAAACATAAGCAACAATAAGCAGCGAGCGGCGACCTAATTCCGCCTAATTGTCTGGCCAGCGCGCGGGCCCCAGCCAGCCCCCAGAGCCCCATTCCCCGACCGGCGGCCAATCCGAATTTCATTTCCATTTCCAGTGGCGCATCTGCTAGTCCCGCCGTTTGGTTGACAAAAGTGTGACGCCAAATTACTTTGCTCCCACGCAACATTAGAAGCTGAGGTGAGAAGCGGAGAGGAGGGCAGCAAATGGAAAGTCCTGCGGCAAATATCTTTTTAATAGAATCCGACCGATGGCAGCTGTTGTTTAGGCTCTGACAAGTGTTTGATTTGAAATTATTTGATGGCTATTTCGTGCTGTGGACACATGCCCATAA